ACGAGGCTGCCACTCGAGAACCTTTTTTCCCCAACGGTTGTCGGTTTTTCGAGCTATATGACCGGCTCAGTGCCACTTCAACTTACGAATCCGTTACTTACTGCGGATATCCTTATTTTTAAATTCATCACGCAGAGAAACCCCAAGCATAGCCCTCTCCATAGCTCGCTGAGCAACCATGAGCGTCCTCATACGGCCAGGTGTGAAGGAACACGTCTCAGATCCGTAAATCATCACTGGCAACACGCCACAAGCTAATTTTCAGGTTTTGAGGTATATCTGACGAGAAGATGTGTCGTAATTTCCTGAATATATTATTTGTATGTTAATATTAAGAAATTAATAACCATTTTAAACGTTGAATAAAACTAAATTTACGGATTCTATCGCTTTTATTTAACTGATTTTACTTATTTTTAATTCCCGACGTTTCGGGTGATTTACAGCAACCATGGTCACGGGGGGGACATGGTTGCTGTAAAGCACCCGAAACGTCGGGAATTAAAAATAAGTAAAATCAGTTAAATAAAAGCGATAGAATCCGTAAATTTAGTTTTATTCAATGTGTAGTGTTCGCGTAAATTTAAGAAATCATCATTTTAAACGTGTTTGTGTCATCTTGTCGGCCGGGCTAATCTTCGAAATGGCAGAACCGATGGTGACGAAACTTCACGGACAGAAACAGAGCAAAGCCAGGGGAGAGCTAGGCTATATTTCATCCGAAAACTAAGAAACAAAGAAAGAAAGAGATATTTATTAGGTCATTTCTTAACAAATTAGCACTAAATACTCAAAACAAACATTCTGTATAGGTAATATTTTTTTAAATATTTTTAAATTTATTTAGGACAACCAACAAGACGTACACGAACACAATGTAAATACTACAAATGACAGGAAGGTTTATACGAGGGTGGATTGAAAAGTACTCGGCCTAACACAGATCCATTCAATTCTAAAAATCAAATCTACCCACATTATTTAGTTCAGTTCAGACTAGTTCATTGTGTGAAGTTCGAAACGTGTGCGATGATTAGTTGTGATTTTATAAATTTATTAACAAAGTAATCGGACATAATTTCCGCGAATGGAGCAAATCGAGCAGCGTGCCGTCATTAAGTACCTCCATAAGAAGGGGCTATCATCAAAAGCCATCCATGATGACATGGTCAGTACATTAGGCGATTGTGCTCTGTCATATTCATCCGTCAAAAAATGGATAGCAGAATTTAAGCGTGGTAGAGAGAGTGTGAAAGATGAACCCCGCTCTGGAAGGCCTTCGACGTCAACTACTGACGAAAATATTAAAAAAGTACTTGATTTAATAATGGGAGACCGCAGATTAAAAATTAGAGAGATAGCCGAGATTATAGGCATCTCTTATGAACGAACTCAAAACATTATTGTCAACGAGTTGGGTTTCCACAAGGTGTCTGCGAGGTGGGTTCCGCGACTGCTTTCAGTTGAACAAAAAAGGACGCGATTGACTATTTCACGCGACTGTTTGGAGTTATTTGAAGCCGATGCAGATGATTTTTTGAATCGTTTTGTTACTATGGACGAAACATGGGTTCATTACTGTACACCGGAAACAAAACAACAATCAAAACAGTGGAGAAGACCTGGTTCACCACCCCTAAAAAGGTTAAGTCGATTTTGTCGGCAAATAAGGTGATGGCTTCAGTATTCTGGGACTCGAAAGGTGTGATTATGATTGATTATCTTGAAAGGGGTCAGACTATAAACTCTGATTACTACTGCACCTTACTACGTCGTTTACGAGAGGAAATAAAAGAAAAACGTCGAGGAATGCTCAGAAGAAAAGTCCTGTTTCATCAAGATAACGCCCGTGTTCACACGTCAGTACAGTCAATGGCTAAAATTCACAACTGTGGCTTTGAACTGTTACCGCATCCGCCGTATTCACCTGATCTGGCACCATCAGACTTCTTTCTGTTCCCTAACCTAAAAAAGCTCTTGGGAGGTCAAAGATTTTCGACAAACGACGAGGTCAAAGCAGCTGTAGACGCATATTTTGACTCTAAGGAAGAATCATTTTTTTCAACGGTCTAAATGCTTGGAAGGGGAGGTGGCAAAAGTGTATTGAACTTGATGGTGATTATGTAGAAAAATAAAAATATAACTGATTTAGTATGTGTTTATTTTCTTGGTTAGGCCGAGTACTTTTCAATCCACCCTCGTATCTTAGTGTCGTCTTAAGGCGCTACTCCTAGCGAACGACCTTGAGCGTTCGGTCCTATACCATACACGCGTTTTTGCTACAATATATCGCGTAAGAAATACGCCAAAAAAAAGTGAAGTTAAGAAATTAAATAAAACCTGAATAATATAGATTTTTAAATAATCTATCCAATAGTGTAATCCTCAAATGATTAGAGCGTTGCCTTTAGCAACAGATGCAAGTAATCAATCATTTTAGTCATTTTTTAAAAGTTGATTTTAAATGTATTTAAAACACATAAAAACAAATTAGAACGTGATGATAGGATATCGAACATTAATAATGTGCTTTTGGATGTAGTTTATTTATCATAACTAATGAGATAATAGTCTCTGAAAAACGCACTATCGCAAGGTTTTGGTCGGGGTATCGCCTTAATTAAAGGTTGCCACAGCATGGAATGTGGATAACGAATCTTATAACTAGACTTAAGTATACACTTACAATCAAAAATAAATCGTTTTGACAAAGCAAATAGGTACAAAATAATAAAACTAAAAGATTTTTTTTAAAAGAACAAAAAATAGATAAAATACATTGCCTTTGATAGTCGTACAACTAAACAACGTTACATTAATATAATCTATCCAGGCAAAGAGGGGCTCGCTAGTCTATACATAAAAATAAAAAGAACTAAGACTAAAGATTTTGTAGAAATTTTACTGAAGATTTTTTTAAACGTAAAATCGACTTTATAGCTGACTTATAGCATTTAACTATGGGAAATAGCAGAAAGGTGTGAACTTCAATAGATGGCAGCACTCGTATATTTCAAGGCGTAGCACGGATTAAGACTTAATCTCCTTACCAAATAAAATTCCTGAAATCCTATTCGTTTCCTCGTCCAGCAGTAGACTTACCGACTGATGAAGAAGTCTGGGAAGGCTGTTAAATCAGTTAAGGCGAGGATTTCCTACGTCGAAAGGCTTTTAGAACTTCAATCTCCGCTACATGCATATTTGCCCAGCACAAAATAAGCGTGCGACATTCAGTTCGACAAAAAGTTAGTTTTATTTGAAACGGTTTTCGTCGCTTAGAGCCGTGGTAGCTTAAATGGTTGGCGCTCGCTGTAAATATCACAGAATGCGAGCAACCCAAGTTCAATCCCCGCCGGCACCACTGAAATTGTTGTTTGCAATTTTAAGTGCTGATTTACCACGTGCTCGGCGTTGAAGGAAAACATCGTGAGGGAACCCGCATGTCTGCAAAATAAAAATAAAATATTTCGAAGACATATGAAGTTCGCCAACACGCATTGTATGCAGCGCGGCGGACACTTCCTTGCCTTAAAACCCTCTCAGAAATGAGGGGAGGCCTGTGCTCAGCAGTGGGACGTATATATATGCTGTAACTTCAACTTTTTTCGCTTATTACCAGGAAATTCGGGATCTAAATAAAATATTATTTTATTTAAAGGATTAAGAATTTTAAGAAAATCTAATTCAATAACAAGCTTTTTATATTATCGAAAAATGCTATTTATTTATCTAACACTCGAAAGTATTTTCCAGGCGATAAAATTATAATTTTTCTTATCTGGATTAATAAGCGGCAGTAGCCGACTAATGGAAGGGTGCAGACCGTGAACTCTAAAGGTCGTAGGTTCCAATCCGCCATTCGAGTACTGTTTGAATCAATCCAACAAGCATTTAAAACTTACCATGAGTGGTTAGAGAGAACATTAGTAAACTTAATAGAAAGAAAGACCTTTATGTGCTGGAAGTGTACACATCACAAAAATAAAAAAAATAAACAGTTAAAAGTACGGTAGATTAAAATCACAAGCGAGGGAGTGAGTATCGAGCCAGTGAAAAGGTTATGGACTTAGCGTAATACTGTTGGTTCCTACTTTAACGTATGGTAGTGAAAGTTGGGTGTGGCAGAAGAAGCACGAGAGTAGAATAAACGCAGTAGAAATGCGGTCGTTAAGGAGTATGTTAGGGCTGAATCTGAATGACAGGGTAAGAAATTATGTAATAAGAGAAGAGTGTGGTTTGCAAGATGATGTTGTGACCAGGATTAAGAAAGGAATGCTTCGGTGGTTTGGTCATGTGGAAAGAATGAATGAGGAAAGAGTGACAAAGAAAATTTATGTTGCAGAAGTGAATGGCAGAGTCGGAAAGGGACGTCCTAGGCGAAAATTTATCGACCAAATTGGCGATTTATTGAAAACGGGCCAAATTAGGAGTACCCTTAACCGACGAGCATGTAAGCGTAGGTGTATGGATGTGAAGGAGGCGAGAGAGGTGTGTCAGGATCGTGCCAAATGGAAATCTGTAGTCTCTGCCTACCCCTCTTGGTGACAGGCGTGTTTACGTAATACTGCATTGTAACCTTACAGCACTGATGATTTTGTCATAACCATAGATAGCGTTTGTAGGCCCATATTTTTTCCCAGCATAAGTACATACCATTTCAAGAAGTATCAATTATCGAGCATCGAAATCCTGTCTAAAATAAGATATTTTGTCCAAACTGGCATTAAACAAAATCAATTTATTTGTTTCAGATCCGCCAGGAATCCAGTTTGAGAATGCGCTTCTACAGATTTCGCCGGTGGATAAATCGAAATGTCCTTACGTTAGACAGACTGACGACATCGGATTTCAATTATACACCAGGTTGGATGACAAACTCGTTAATGACACGACAACGAAAATGACAGAGACAGAAAGAAAGAAAGAAAGAGAGAGAGAGAGAGAGAGAGAGAGAGAGAGAGAGAGAGAGCTATAGATATTAATTCAATAAGACACAAAAAATGCAAGATGTGTTTTTGCGTTCGAAATTTTCAATCCAGATCAATTTCACAATCATTAGCAACATCATTACAGCCCATACTATACCGTAAGGAATATAGTAGTATACTGCTAACAGTATAGTATGGGCAAACATAGGCCCTCTGTGATAAATTTCCTCATAGGGTAGCCGTAGGAAGGAAAAGAGATCTCCCGCCGAGGAAGGTGTTCTATCCGGGGAGCGGCGAACGCTCCGTGTAGTACTTCGAAACTATTCTATATATACTGTTTTACTTCGGAACTTTGATAGCGCGATTTAGGCATCGATGTGTTTTCGCTTGTGGCGCGATGACAACGCCGCCACAGCCATATCTAGCCAGTGATATATATCTGCCATAGTTGCCACGCTTGGCAGACGGATTAGCAGCCGCAGTTTTTTACAATTTAGAGCTGTTATCAAGATGATGCTGCTGCTCCCCATGTCCTAGTGTTGCCTCTGTCACCTCTCACGACGGCCACGGTGCAGAGTAAGAGCAGTGGATATTACACTGTCAGTAACACGCGAATGACAGAATCATTCTCGGGTTACTCTATCATGTCATAATATGTAATTTAAAATTATTCTACATTATAATTCGAAATTTAGCACTGATATAATTCTGGATTATAGAAGTAAACTCTACTGCGTCTTAATCAATATATCAAACCCTACCTGTCTAGAATCACGTTTTAAATTTCTTAGCGCCTGTCATGATTTTTCCTTACTGTACAAATAAAATGTTTCTCTCCCAATGTCTTATGCACTCCTTGACATTTTATGATAAATTGAAATAATACTAGTTTTTACGGAATTTATCGCGTATATTTAACTTTTTAAATACCCGACGTTTCGAGAGCTTTACAGCACCCATGGCCACGGGAAGGACTGGGATGTTCAACGTCCAGATGTCATAGTTAACCGCGGTTACCATAGATTAAAATTTAACTTTTGTTCCGATCTACACAGTACGAACATATGGTATCATGAAGTCTTGCAGTTGTATGCTTGGGTTGGGATTTAATTTTATTTATTATAGGATCCCAAGTAGATGGTAGCACCCAGCCATCTTCTCTGTTGAAATTAGGATGTTGCAACATCAGGGAAAACAAAAGGTGGTCTTCTTGTTAAATAACACAAGAAGACCACCTTTTGTTTTCCCTCATTATTTGTTTATTTTTTGTTATATTTATCTTTTATTTTATACGTACAGTTTATATTCTAGGAGTTATTTTCAGAGAGTAAATTGGCTCAGATTTAGATCACGAAAAAAGGATATACACAACACTATTTTAATACCACTGAGGTAATGTATGGGGGTGGCCTATATTCAGGAGTAGTAGAATGAAAGAATGGGCTTTACATCTGTCCTCAGGTCAAAGCGCCTATAACCCAATTCGTGCAGAATCTACTGCTGTCTACACATATTTTTAACTACCCGAAATTATTGGTTTCACCCCGATTTTCGGAAATCGAGTTTTCATCAGATCTCGAAGTTTTGAGATCACAGGAAGCTATTCTGACTAATTTCACGTGGACGTCCGTACGGATGTACGTATGTGTAAACCCTTGAACGTCTTGATCAATTGAGATGTGGTTTGCGGCGTTCTAAAGATCTTAATGTGGAATAGATTTGGTGATAATATGAACTGATGCGGACGACTATATTTTGTTAAAATCTCAAAAATAAAAATTTTGAAATAGTTTTTTTTAATAACTATTAAATTGATTTACCGATCGATTTCAAAAACTAATGAGCTCTTTACCTCAAAAAATGACGTCGAATGCCGTTTGGAAAATGAAAATCGATTCATTCGTTCGTGAGATATCGAAGGAGAGAATTAAAAAAAAACAGTTTTTTTTTTACATAACTTCGAAATTTCGCAACATAATTCGGTGAAATTTGGAGAGCTTTGCGTTTGAAATTAGCGGGAAGTTCCAGGGATGGCCTGCAGGATTAACCGATTTTTTTACCTGGTTGTAAGTTGTGAAGTCCTATATGTTAAATCACACTATCTTAACGTAACAAAATATGGAATAAGGGTGACAAACGAGCACGCAGTCCACCTGATGGTGAGTGAATGCTGTAGCCCATAGGCATTTACATCTATTTTCGATTAAAAATTACAATGCAGATGCATTGTCACCTCAGCACTAAGATGGAATGTCTCGTTCCCAGTAAAAAGGGTCTCCAGTTCTCCACACTCACCACACGAAACACAGCAGCATTTTAAGCTGGTATTCTGTGAGGGCGCGGTCCTCGCCGGTTGAGTCGACCCATTTGGGAAATACCACGTAAAACATTTCTACAGATGTCTGTCTATCTTTAGTTTATTATTCCACTAACAATTACCTTTTAAGACTAAGATAGGAATGCCCGGTAAAAAGGGTCTCCGGTTCTTAACATCCACCACATTTTATGTTATACGTGGTAGAGCTATGCTGCAATTATATTAGTAGTATAGTTGTAGCACGAATGGGTATGCTCGACCGGGGAAGGACCACGCTCTCACAGAATACCAGCGTGAAATAGTAGCTTAATGCTGCTGTATTTCGTATGGTGAGTGTAGAGAACCAGAGACCCTTTTTACTGGAAACAAGGCATTCCATCTTAGTCCTTACGGGTGACAACGCATCTGCATTTTGATTCGTAATCGAGGATAGATGTAGATGTCTATGGGCCACAGCATCCACTTACCATCAGGTGGACTGTGTGCTCGTTTGTCACCCTATCCTATAAAAAAAATCCACCACAGAAATTCAGCCGTATAAAACTGCTATTCTACGCTGGTATTCTGTGAGCGTGGTATTACCCCGATCGAGCCGATGCATTAGCTCTATGGCGGCTTTAAACAAATGGACTTATATCTGCTTCCAGGCACAACCCAACCGTCTACCAGGAGCTCAAGGTGAACGACGACGAACGGCTGTTTGCGTCCAACATCGACTTCAATGCGCCCACTGTGATACATTTCCATGCGTTCATGGAACTTCCTGCGGACGGTTCGGGCATTGTGATCAGGGAAGGTCAGCGACTTTTTAATTATTGTTTCTTTTGGGGTATAAATGTATTATCTCATCTGGTCCATCTGCATAAATATATAAAAAAGTGATAAATATACATTAAACATAGTAAAATATCCACTCAAACGCCCGAGCGACTATAGTCAACTAAAACTTTTTCCGGTTAAACGTTAGGGCGACTAGAGCGGCCTCGCTGACTTCTACACTTTAAACGACTTTTTATCCATGGAAAGTTCAAAAAGCGTAATGAATTTTACACTAGATGAATCTATATTAAAAATGCGTTTATCGGTTAGTAAAAGGTCTATGCCAGGTAACAAATACCATTGAAAAAAAAAAAGAAGAAACAAGCATTGTGTCAAGTTTTGTGTAGTGGCCAGTAGTACTGTTTCTGTAATTCTGCATTTAAAATGTAAATAATAATGTATTTATTATACTTTTGTGAAACTAATCCCCGAAATGCTTTCTTTTCGTATATTCACAAGTTTTATGAATACACTAAAGTGCTCATTACATTATCCAATTTGCAGAGCGCTAGGTGAACTAGCGTACTAAATTTGTATTGTGTAAAGGCAGTTAGACAGCTAGTGATCCAATCTAGTGAGATTGCATGGACTCTGCGCGCTAGCTCATATCACTAGCTAGCGCACTAAATAGCATGGTGTAAAGCGTTCTAGCGTGCTAAACTCTAGCTATGCTAGATCAGTCAGTCAGTCGGCGTGCGCTCGAACAGGACGTATTTTTGGTATAAGATCAAAGTGACGTGACGCAACCATCGACTAAGGAAAAGGAAGTGCTCTTAAATGGGAAATAATGAATTATACAAAACATGTCATTTCTTTGGGATAAAAAACATAAGGATTATAAAAACAAAGATATAAGAAATTATGAAAATAAAGTGCTTCTCGAAATTTACAAATGATTCACATTGTTCCTATTTGACCACAAACTAATAAGAGTACCAACCTAATATTTGACAGTTTTTGTCTCAGCAATAAATATTCTTTCACCCAACATTTTTTGCGTTTTTTTTTTCAAATTAATTATCATTAAACTTGACACCATTGCTAAAGCAATGCTAACTTTCTGGGGGTTTGATAGTACCATATTCGTTTAGCGCTTTTTGAAAGATGCTCTTTGGACGACGATCACTACAGAAATGAAAGGAAATTAAACTAACTAGCTTCGCTAGTTAGTCTAGTGTAATGAGTGAGCTCTTTTTTATAGTTCGCTGCGGCACTAAATTTAGCGCTCTGCAAATTGGATAATGTAATGGGCGCTTTAGTCTGTAATGATGTTTTTATATGTGATGAAGTCGACATGCGAAAACTTCGATTTCCTGTTAAGTTTTTGTGTTATATAATATTTATTTAACTTTTATGATGATTTCGTAAATTTACCCGAACACTACACATTGAATAAAACTAAATTTACGGATTTTATCGCATTTATTTAACTGATTTTACTTATTTTTAACTAAAAACTGAAGGTAGCCGGGGGTAGCCGGGCTAACAATGACATTGGGACGTCAAACATCTCAGTCCCCCCCGTGACCACGGTTGCTGTAACCCGAACCGTCGGGAATTAAAAATAAGTAAAATCAGTTAAATAAACGCGATAGAATCCGTAAATTTAGTTTTATTCAATATTTGACTTTTATTTATCTTATTGATATTATCGACTGCCTCGTTGGTCTAGCGGTTGTAGTAGTGTGACTGCTGATCATGAGGTCCTGGGTTCGAATCTCGGATCCGTCAAAAAATCAGTTAATGAGTTTTTCCGTTTAGAAATTCTCAGTAGTTGCCCGGAGTCAGGAAGTTGGCGATGTCTCACCCCCGTGTCTCGGAAAGCACGTAAAGCCGTTGGTCCTGCGCCTGATCTCTCTCCGCTCATGTCGGTTTACCGTCCCATCGGACTTTGAGAGTAAGGGAACAGAAAGTGCACCTGTGCTTGTGCATACACTTGGGCACTATAATCCTGTCCTGCGCCGATGGCTAGCCTCCGTTGAGACAGGTCGCCGTGAACGAAATTCGGTCTGGAGGATGTTTTTTATTTATTTGACTAAAATATTTCTTATAAATATAAAAATATTAATTACAAATTTAAAATAAATTTGTATAAATATAAATTTAAAAATAATAATAATTGACCACATTTTATAGCCGCCCGGGAGATCAGACTAGAACGGAGTATGTCGATATTTTAGATATTCCTGCATAGAAATACTTAATATTTATATAAGGTTATTGGTATTATTGGATGAGGTAGATCATCTTTTTTAATTTTTGTATAATAAATACGTAGAAATAAAATGATTCCGCGATATTATAAAAAAAAACTAAAAAAATATTGGGTTTTTTTTTTCAGCTAGATTTCTAAAATTAATCAATGTTATGTGTCACCCGTTGCACTTCAAATGGGTAAATTATTATTACCTAACGTAATTTAATTCTGTATTTCATTAGCTTTCTGTGTATGACATTTATTCTGACATAGGTAAAGAACTTTTTCCGTGGTAACCGTTATAGTCGAACTGGTCGCGATCGGACCGTAAAAGAAGCCGCGACGAGCGGCGCGGTGCGTTAGAGGCTATTCTCGCCGCGTCGCTCAAACGTTCAAGTGGTTATATAAATAAATAAAAACTCAACCATAGGGAAGCCCTCGACTGGGGAGACCAAATAGCCGAGAGTTAGGGGAAGAGTAGAGTCCCAGTCGCCTCAGATCTCACGAGAGACTGACCGAGATTAGCCTGCTCGCGGAGACGACTACAGGAATAATTTCGGTCGGCAAATCACCCTACATGTCGCTCACCTCGTGCGCCAGGTCCAGATATTTTGTTTGCTTATCTGTTTTGGCTTTTACAAGGTTCTCGTCAAACAGAATGGTAATATCGACTGAAAATAACTTTGACTGTGCCCGGTCCATCAGCCCAATATCAGGCTTATTCGCAAGAATAGTGCTGTCCGTGATGATGGCCCGGTCCCAGTAGAGCCTGGCGCGTTCATTTTCGAGCGCGACCTCCGGCAAATACTTATAAGGCAGTTTCCGATCCACGAGACCGTATTTCAGAGCGAGCTCCTGGTGTAGAATTCTGGCTACTAGGTTGTGCCTGTGCAAGTACTCAGAGTTAGAAAGCGCCGAAAGACCGGAGATGACATGCCTAAGTGACTCACCGGTATGTCGGCATGCTCGACAGATGTCGACAGTGCCATCCTTTAGGCGCAGGACAGGATTTTAATGCCCAAGTGTATGCGCAAGCACAGGTGCACTCTCTATTCCCTCACTCTCATAATCCGATGGGACGGTAAACCGACACGACCGGGAGAGAGATCAGGCGCAGTACCAACGGCTTTACGTGCTTTCCGAGGCACGGGGGTGAGACACCGCCAACTTCCTGACTCCGGGCAGCTACTGAGAATTTCTGAATGGAACAAATCAATAACTGATTTTTTCTCCGACCCGGGATTCGAACCCAGGACCTCATGATCAGCAGTCGCACTACTACAACCACTAGACCAACGAGGCAGTCAAATTAATATAACTGCTATTACTAACTAGGATGTGGTTGTTCCTAGTATTTACAGAATATACATCTGTTTTTGTTTTTGTGTATTCAATCTTCAAACTACTCTCTGCAGCGTACGTTCAACGCGGTGACACCAACGTGATAATGGTGGACGCTCAACGCTTAGAAGCTGGACCGTGGTACTTCACAGCGGCGGAGAACACCTGGTACATCGGGCGCTTCGCGGCGCAGTTCATTGACTATCTGGTGTCCAGGTGTGTTTTTTATAGGTTAAGTGTGACAAACGAGCACACAGTCTACCTGATGGTGAGCGGATGCTGTGGCCTATAGACATCCACATCTATCCTCGATTAAGAATCTCTTAAAAGATGTTCTTTAACTTCATTAAAGGTGTCGTCACATTAACTTTGATTTCATGGCGGGTAAAGAAAGAAGAAAAGTGTAAAGAATAATGTTTTTTCTGAAATATGACTTATATTTTACATTAATTAAAAGTAAAATAAATAAAAAGTATTTTAAAAAATTGCAAAAAAATTTAATAGTAACGCAGTTTTATGTATATACTGAGTATACTGATACACAAAACTGCGCCCTGCGCCCTCCTTTGCCAAGGAGGGTGCGTTCGTAAGCTTAGAGATCTCTAGTCAGATCGTTAAGCCATTTCCTAAAAGGCGGTGTTTAGTGGGTAAAAGTCTCCACATAACCACGCAGCCGGCTGCGTGGTATGCTGAGCATTCACCGCCTCCCTCCCCCGCTTTCCGGAGGGTTGCCCATAATTGCTTCGGGCGCAAAAAAAAATACACAAAACCAAATAATTTTTATTTAAAATATAACTACCTAGTGGTAGAAGTGAAACCTTCCGGAAAGGAGACCGAGATAATAGGGAATCACATTGCTTCTAAAAAAATTCACTTCAAAGATATTCTAACAAATTGAGAATCTCCTGTTTTTTTGAAGCCGGCTGATAAGTTGAAGAAGCGCAACATTACTAAAAAAGTAAGATATTTTAACATGGTAGCTGTAAGGTGTATTATGTCTGCAGCGCGAATGGGTGATCTCCGGAGAAAGATCACATCATTCATCATCATCATTACAGCCCTACACAAGTACACTGCTAAACATAGGCCTCCCCCAAGGAACGCCACAAAGCACGGTCCAGAGCCACCTGCGTCCATTGACTTCCTGCATGTCTTACCAGGTCGTCACTCCATCTAGTGGCGTCACCCTACACTTCTACCGTACGAGGCTGCCACTCGAGAACCTTTTTTCTCCATCGGTTGTCGCTTCTTTGAGCTATATGGCCGGCTCATTGCCACCTCAGCTTATTAATCCATTGGGTTATGTCGGTCACTCAGATTCTGCGGATATTCTCATATCCAAGTTTATCACGCAGAGAAGCCCGTTGGAAGATATTTTCAAGCTACTCGACTGGAAAGGATACGGCATTAACATCAATGGCGAGTGCATCACTCACCTTCGATTTGCCGACTAGCCCTTATGGCAGAATCGCCTAGAGGATCTAAGCACTATGTTCAATGACCTCAATAGTGCCTCCAAATGGATAGGTCTTAAAATGAACACGGACAAAACAAAGATCATGTGTAACGTCCATGTTACACGTATGCTGATAGTTGTTAGGAGTACTAAGCTCGTAGTTGTGGACGAGAAAGCTCATGGTTTCACAGAATACCATCGTGAAACAGCAGCATAATGCTGTTGTGTTTCGTATGGTGAGTCTAGTGAACCGGAGACCCTTATACTGGTACCGATGCTTTATTATTTTTTATATAATAGGGTGACAAACGAGCACACAGTCCACCTGATGGTAAGTGGTTGCTGTGGCCCATAGACATCTGCATCTATTCTCAAATTAGAATCAAAATGTAGATGCGTTTTCTCCCGCTAGGACCAAGTTGAAATTCCTCGTTTCCAGCGAAAAGGTTTTCCGTTTCTCTACACTCACCATACGAAACACAGCAACATCAAACTGCTATTTTACGCTGGTATTCTGTGAGCGTGGTGTCCTTTCCCGGTCGAGCCGACCCATTCGTGCTACAACTTTACTACTAGTATAGCTGCAGCATGGCTCTACCACGTTCCAGTTTACACTTAGTTTAGTGGCTACACTACATTCACTATGAGTTTTTGAAGTGAAACTTCTTTGCGCGCGATGGGGGGTAACTTTTCAAGGCCGCGTCACGATAATAATACGAGTAATATCAGCGTCAGATTTTAGTGCGAAGATTTTAAAGGAGACAATTTATTTCCCACCAAAAGTTTTAAGGATTCTTAATGAAATGCATGTCGATTTATTCCTTATAATCTAATAGATTACAATAGTATTATAGTTTCACTTCTGACATGCGTACTATGTACACACGCTGTTTTTTTTTAAAGAGGAGTCCCCTACAAACGAGCATACGGCTCACCTGATGTGTGGACCGTCGCCCATGAACAACTGTAACACCAGGCGAATTACAGGTGCACTCTGTTATGGGGTGGACTGTATGCTAGTTGCCTCCTTTATTTGTGTTAAAAAAATCACGTTTCCCATTTTCAGAGGTCTGAAGCTGTCAAACACGCATTTAATTGGCCACAGCCTCGGTGCCCAAGCAGCCGGTGTAGCTGGCGCTTCGTTAACATCGGGTGAGTGGAGACATTTATTTCATACATTTTTTTTCAAACTTAAAGTATTTCGGTTAAAACATATCCTCGATCCTTCCTGGCATTGTACCCTATCTGTTCGTAGTTTCACCACAATCGGTTCAGAATATTCGAAATAACTGAACCTGACTAGCTCAGACAGACATTTTTTTAAATGATTATATATGTCTTAATAGTATGAGATTAATCTCCTGAGCTTAAAGTTATATTATAGACAGACACTCCAATTTTATTTATATTTACAGATGTTGAAGATATTAAGATCTGCGTAATAAAACAAAATGATGTGTATGTACAACTCGCGGCACGAAAGTCTAGCGGTGACCGTTATCGCACGCGCTGATTGGCTGTCAAGTCGCATTTCGACCTCGGTACTAATACATTTGCAGATATCCATTCCACGTTTCGTTCGGTGCTAGTGTTTTTTTTTTATATACCTAGTTTGAATAGCACCCCTCTATGCCTCTATTCTCCCGCCCTACCACAATTGCCTGCAATATCCCCGCCACCACTATTAGTATTTTTTAGAAATGAGTAATGAACGTAAGCAATTCGGATCAAGTAAAAATACAAAATCGTTGGCTTTCACCTTTGGCTCCGTGGCGGAGTGACTTGGTAATGAGTTGTAGCGCTGAGCGCCGCGGGTTCGAATCCCACATGGAACAAAAATTTGTATTACCTACAAATAATTGTTCCAGGTCTGGATGTTTGTCCTTGTGAAATTAATGTATTTAAACTGCCCCCACGAAGTACTTACGAAAAATTTCTAGTGTGGAGATAACGTTATGATTAAACAAAGACATGCCATCAAAAACATAACTTGTAAAATAACCAAGTCTCGCAATGATGATACAGCCGTGCCGCTGTTTTGCTCGACTTGGCGGGGGCACTACCGTGCCCCCAGATATCTCGCCGTAAACGCGTACAATCCGGGTTCGATCCCCGCTAGTGTTGCCAGATGTCCCGATTTGCGCGGGACGTCCCGATTTTCAAGGGTCTAGTGACGTCCGTTCCCTTGATCGGGACGTTATCCCGATTTTCACTAACCTTCTTATTCTATACTTTAATCCATAATTGTGACAGCAAAAATGATTACATCTGTTAGATACTACCATATTAAAATATTTTTACTACGACATTGTCTCACCAGTCGAAAAAAAAAACACACAATTTTTAAACAGAATTATATTAAAATGAGTGATTTGAAAAATTCAGGGACTGCAAAAAACAAATAGTTCAAAAATGTTTTAGTTTGCCTAAAATGAAAAAAAAAAATCAGTTTTTACGATGTTTGGATGAAAAGTTATTCGTTCATGAGATCAGACCCGAATAATAATTATAAAGCACAAAAGTAAAGTAAAGTTACAGTCACAATTTCTCGCATTACTCGCATACTGTGATATTTACAGTGAGCGTTGACCATCTGAGCTACCACGGCTCTCAATAAAGCACAAAAAGGCTACAAAGAAACCTATATTTTGTAGTCATTGTAGATGTCCGGATATGAAAACCAAATCCCCGATTATTTTTACCTTCCGTCCCGAAATTTTACTTGCTAGACCTGGCAACACCATACCCCGCCGACACTAATGAAATTGTTAGTTTGATGAATTATGTTTACATTATGAAACAGAATAAAAGTTTATCAGATGATATATATTTTATATAATACATATTTTTCAATTAGAACATATATTATAATATACTCAATAGGGTGAAAATGTAAAGCCGACTTCAATTTACTAAAAGAATAAAACAATTTCCACATATTAGCCTCCGATTTCTATACACTATATAAGCCATTATATGGAAATTATTTTTTATTATTTTAGTTCTAATAGTATCAAATACTATATAATCAAAGATCAAAGTGATTCTAAAGGCAACTATTATAGCCTCACGCTCGTCCTGACACGCACACAGAGATAACATTGTAGCGTGCGTCAATATTACGCCGTTCCAAAGCGATCGCGTAGATTTCGACTTGGACATATTTGAATATGCGCTCTTATGAGATGGACATTCTACAAATTATATCTATTTTTATATGGAACCGTTCCAGAGATATAAATAACCTAATGAAAATACATGTCCAAAGGTTAAAACAGTAATATTAAAAACCTAAAACTATGAATAAAACTAGTTTTTACGGATTTTATCGCGTATATAAACTTACTATTATAAATTCGAGACGTTTCGAGACCTTTACAGCATCCATGATCACAGGGGGACACGATTTAAATGTATAGTGTTCGCGCAAATATAACAAATCATTATCTAAAGTTATATCCATCTTTTTATGAAGTTACAAATAATAAGGTGTAATGAAAGTATATCTTGCAGGTCGCGTGGCCAGAATCACTGGCTTGGACCCGGCGCTCCCGCTCTTCAGTAAAGTACCGTTGGAGCAAAGACTCGACGCATCGGACGCCGAATTCGTTGACGTTATACACACTGACGCTGGGATATTTGGTATGTTCAAAAATTATTGTGAAATTTCCAAGATTCATATTTCCTTTTTTTAGAGAGAACGAACTAGAAATCCACCTGATGGTAAGTGGATGCTGTGACCCATGGACACCTACATCTATTCCAGATTAAAAATCAAAATAGCTGCCGTCCAACAAATTCTTTTATTTTATTTAAAAGAGTGGACAAACGAGAATTCTTCTCACCCGATGGTAAGCGACTACCGCTGCCTATAAACAACTGCAACGCCAGGGGAATAGCAGGTGCGGTTCCGGCATTTTAGAAATGTGTAAGCTCTTTTCTTGAATGTCCCTAAGTCGTATCTGTCCAGAAAAATTGCTGGTGGAAACCAATCCCATAAAGAACTTACGCGAGGAAGAACAATTCCTCTGAGCACTGCCCGTGGCAAATGCAATAGAACATGCGAAGAGATGCAACATCTCTTCGCAGCGCCAGTGAGTCAAGCCGATCAGAAAGAACTCGTTCATCAACGATTTGAGCCAATATTGCTTACAAACACCCAGGCCCGAGTTTGCCTTGATAGCATCTGTCAATGTGGCGTAAGGTTTAAGATAATCAAGGACCATTTATTTTATAAATTTTTCGAATTTTTAAAAAAAAATCTTACGTTTTTTGAACATAACATAGCCTAGATATATACTTAGATCACTATCGATTCGTAGTTTCGTTACAATCGAGCCAGCTATTCTGAAAACTAGCCCCAACATACAAACAGAAAGACAAAAAATTTAAAAATATTTATGTCTTAATAAGCCAGTTATTTCAAAGATTATAGACAAACACTTTAATTTTATTTATGTGTGTATGATGATGCCGTGTAGTGGCGGTTAAGAATATCCACTACCCCATATCTTCTCGTGGGTGTCGTAAGAGGTGACAGAGGGAGACAGGCAGGAGATGGGCAGCAGCATCTTCCTGATAACAGCAACTGTACGACAAAAAAAAACTGCGGTTGCCAACCCGCTCGCCTAGCGTGGCAACTATAGCAATATACCCCCCATGAACAATTACACAAATAGAAGGCCCCCAGTCCCCGGCGGCCCCGCTATTCCTGGCTACGGTGGCGAACATGGTAACGGCGGGGCAGGGGGTGCTAAGAATCTCCGGTGGAGGTTCGGTTGCCACCTACGACGACTCGACCTGGCAACATTTAACGCACGCACACTGAGGACTGACGACACGATCCTGGAGCTGGAAGAAGAGATAGACAAGTTGCGCTGGAGTATTATAGGATTATCCGAGGTCCGAAGAGAGGGGGAGGACACGGTGATTCTCGAATCCGGCAACTTGTTCTATCACCGGGAGGGCGACCATCTGTCCCAAGGAGGTGTCGGATTTATCGTCCACAAGTCTCTCGTCAACAACGTTGTAAAGATTGGGAGTGTGTCGACGAGGGTCGCGTACCTGATACTCAGAATCACAAAACGGTATTCGCTGTAGGTCATACAGGTTTACGCACCAACCTCGGCACATTCCGATGAGGAGGTGGAGGAAATGTATGAGGATATTTCCAAAGCCATGCATTCCTCCAAAACCCACTACACGGTGTTGATGGGAGACTTCAACGCAAAACTAGGCACAAGAGAAAACGGTGAGCTGAAGTTAGGGAAATTTGGAGTAGGGCAACGGAACCGAAGGGGCCAGCAGCTGGCCGACTTTATGGAGAAAGAGGGACTCTTTATGATGAACTCTTTCTTCCAGAAGCGGCCCCACCTGAAAAACTAGCCCGTCACTGTCGAACCGTCGGGGCTCGACCTGGTCGACAAAAAATGAGATTGACTTCATTATGACGCCAACTGTTCAGTGATGTCTCAGTGATCGCAAGGGTGAAAACTGGCAGCGATCACCGAATGGTTAGAGGCACACTGAACCTAAACGTTAAGTTGGAGAGGTCTCGTCTAATGAAGTCAACGCTTCGTCCCCCTCGTGCTCTAATCCACAATCCCGAAAACTTTCAGCTCGAGTTACACAACCGCTTTCAGTGCCTACAAGATTGCAATGCAGTGGACGATGTGAATGACAAGCTCGTGGAAACTGTCCATGCGGTCGGAGCTAAGTTCTGCAAGACCCGCCGCAGAAGAACATAAAAACTCTCCGGTAACACTCTTAATCTCATGGCTGTTAGACGGGAGATGAGGCTGCAATCGTCAACAGATTTGACAGCATACAGGCAACTGAACAGACAGATCTCCAAATGCATGCGGCGAGACTTACGCAACATTAATACTGCTCGTATTAAAGAAGCTATCGAGCGGAACCAGGGCTCCAAAGTTTTTGCCAGAGATCTGTCTGCCCGTAAGAGCCAACTATCAAGGCTGAAGACTGAGTGTGGCAGCATCGTTTCCGGGACACCTGAGATTTTGAGTGAGATTGAGAGGTTCTATGGGCAGCTGTACACATCATCGTTGGAGCCACACGCAAGTGTGAGTAACGATCCAAGAGCAAGACTTATCCGACACTATTCCGATGATATCCCGGACGTCAGTCTGAGCGAGTTTAGAATGGCTCTCCAGCACCTTAAAAATGGCAGGGCCCCAGGCGAGGATGGAATTACAGCGGAGCTTCTGAAAGCGGGTGGAACACCGGTACTTGAAGTCCTTCAGAAGCTCTTCAATTCCGTCCTCCATGGTGGCACTACTCCAGAGGCGTGGAGCAGAAGTGCGGTGGTCTTGTTCTTTAAGAAAGGCGACAACGCTCTCTTGAAGAACTACAGACCGATTTCCCTTCTGAGCCGCGTCTACGTGCTGTTTTCGAGAGTCATTACGAATCGTCTCGCACGCAGACTCGACGACTTCCAGCCTCCCGAACAAACCGGTTTCCGAAAAGGCTTCAGTACCATAGACCACAGTACATAGATAGATAGTACAGAACCAGAGCTCGAAACCTATTCAACTGCAGAGAGGTGTAAGACAGGGTGACGTTATATCCCCGAAACTCTTCACCGCTGCATTGGAAGACGTTTTCAAGGTACTGGACTGGAAAGGATACGGTATTAACATCAATGGCGAGTACATCACTCACCTTCGATTTGCCGACGATATAGTCCTTATGGCAGAATCGCTGGAGGACTTAAGCACTATGCTCAATGACCTCAATAGTGCCTCCCAACGGATAGGTCTTAAGATGAACATGGACAAAACAAAGATCATGTTTAATGTCCATGTCACACCTATGCCGGTAGTTGTTGGGAGCACTATGCTCGAAGTTGTTGACGAGTACGTTTACCTGGGACAAATAGTCCGACTAGGTAAGTCCAACTTCGACCGAGAGGTCAATCGACGGATTCAACTCGGCTGGGCAGCGTTCGGGAAATTACGACACATCTTCTCGTCAGGTATACCTCAATCTCTGAAAACTAAAGTGTACAACCAGTGCGTGTTGCCAGTGATGACTTACGGATCAGAGACGTGGTCCTTCACTGCTGGCCGTATGAGGACGCTCAAGGTCGCTCAGCGAGCTATGGAGAGGGCTATGCTCGGAGTTTCTCTGCGTGATAGACTCAGAAATGAGGATATCCGCAGTAGAACCAGAGTGACCGACATAGCACAACGGATTAGTAAGCTGAAGTGGCAATGGGCCAGCCATATAGCTCGAAGAACCGATAACCGATGGGGAAGAAAGGTTCTCGAGTGGCAGCCTCGTACCGGTAGGCGTAGTGTAGGGCGACCCCCCACTAGATGGAGTGACGACCTGGTAAAATATGCAGGAAGTCGATGGATGCAGGTGGCTCAGGACCGTGCTTTGTGGCATTACTTGGGGGAGGCCTATGTTCAGCAGTGGACTTGTGAAGGGCTGTGATGATGATGATGATGATGTGTATGAATAGAACTTAGATGATCAAGATGGAATGCCTTATGAAGAGTGAGTATGCATGATGTCGTTACTTTACGCTGGTATTTCATTTGAGCGTGATCTATACCCGACCCATTTTTACCCCAGCCATATTCTAGTTATAGTATGTTTATACGTAATTTTTTTTTTAATATTTTAAATACTTACACACAAGTTTTCACAAATAACATTATTACTATTCACTACTTTTAATTTTTTTCGTCTTCTTCTAGAAGAAGCACGAGAGTAGAATGAACGCAGTAGAAATGCGGTCGTTAAGGAGTATGTTAGGGCTGAATCTGAATGGCAGGGTAAGGAATTGTGTAATAAGAGAAGAGTGAGGTTTGCAAGATGATGTGACCAGGATAAAGAAAGGATTGCTTCGGTGGTTTGGTCGTGTGGAAAGAATGAATGAGGAAAGAGTGACAAAGAAGATTTATGTAGCAGAAGTGAATATCAGAGTCGGAAAGAGACGTCCTAGGCGAAAATTCATCGACCAAATTGGCGATTTATTGAAAACGGGCCAAATTAGGAGTTCCCCAACCGACGAGCATGTATGCGTAGGTATATGGAGAAAGGTGTGTCAGGATCGTGCCAAATGGAAGTCTGTAGTCTCTGCCTACCCCTCTGGGTGACAAGCGTGAGTGTTTATTATGTATTTATGTTTTATGTTACTTCTAATTTTTCGATAATTTTATGTCAATCTTCAATAAAAAAGGTTTGGAAAATCCAAAATTGCTCGACTCATAACGCTCGTATCATCGAAATTTGCTTTCTAGCACCTTATAAATATAAAGATGCCTAATTCCAGGATTCCCAGGCACAATAGGACATGCTGACTTCTACCCCAACGGTGGAACGAGTCCACAGCCTGGATGTAACCTGGAGGTGGTCTTCAAACAACAGTTGCTTCTCAACAAATGTAAGTTAACAATGTACGGTCTTTATACGTCCCATAGATAGGCAGAGGTCGCCTCTCAGATCAAGAGAGAGAAAGTTTTCTTCACTTAGTATTATGGAGTAATTAATCGGTCGAGCTGATCCATAGAATACTATAATACATACATAATAGAACGGGGGAGTGGGCGGAGCCCGTGTAGCCACTAAAATGTCACTAACACGTTAATTAACACATATAAATGACAACACGAGATGTGTTTTGACGTTACAATCGTTTCTTAATTTCGCATGCAAATTATTTAGAAAATGCCAAATTGCACCCTATTTACAAATAAATATGTATTAAAATTTTCCGATGGTCTTGAACATTAATCAAAAGCCTAAAATGTTTAAATTTACTCATTCTGTCAACACAGCGAATCGGGTTTGGCGACGCCGATCCTCGTACAAAATAAAGTTGACAGCCATTCTATTGTGTATTATAGTATTCTATGAGCTGTGTATGTATTCTATGATTAACGCAGGGTGGATGAAATGGCGACAGGTCACAGCCACAACGTGCGATCCCCGAATGCCAATAAGGCTGAAGGGGAAAATTTACAAATCGACCATCCGACCTGTCGTCATGTATGAAGTGAATGCTGGGCCGTCAAGAAGAAGGATGAAAATAGATTGCATGCGAATGAAATGAGAATGTTACGATGGATGTGTGGTGTGACAAGGATGGATAAGATAAGGAATGAGTATATAAGAGGAAGCCTGAAAGTAGCGCCAGCGGTAGAAAAGCTGAGAGGAAGCAGATTGGCATGGTTTGGGCATGTGATGCGGAGGGATGAAAGTCATGTCACAAAACGAGTGTTGAATATGAATGTGGAGGGACACACGGGCAGAGGAAGGCCCAATAAAAGATGGATCGATTGTGTGAAGAGTGATATGAGAATGAAAGGAGTAAGTATGGAAATGACGGCTGATAGAGAGGAATGGAACAAGAAGATTTACTGCGCCGACCCCAGATAATGGGAAATGATCTAGAGAATGATGAATGATGAGTATTCTATGAGCTGATCCATTGCGTGTTAAGCCCTATTACCTAAGTGTTTTTGATATTCTTATTCCTTATATAATAAAATTGCAAGTGAACTTATAGTCAATCAAATGATAAGAGCTATAGGAGCCAATGGACGCCTGCACTTCAAGTAAAGTCGGCTACACATGCGCCATCACCTCTGCGTACTAAGATGGAACGCCTCGCAACCTGTAATGCCGGCTATACATTTTGGCCGAGCGAAGGCGAGTACCAATTTATAGACAGTCCATTTGTCTAGCCTTACCATTGCTCGTCGTCGCTCGTCTAGCTGGCCGAGTGCAGACGAGCGCCAACGTATATGTTACGATATACGTTTCGTTTGCCTTTTTTTATAAGATAGGGTAACAAACGAGCACACAGTCCACCTGATGGTAAGTGGATGCTGTGGCCCATAGACATCTAAATCTATCCACGATTACGAATCAAAATGCGGATGCGTTGTCACCCGCGAGGACTAAGATGTAATGCCTCGTTTCTCTGGTCTTCTTTCAAAAAGGGTCTCCGGATTTCTACACTCACCATACGAAACACACCAGCAGTAAGCTGCTATTTTACGCTGGTATACTGTAAGAGCGCGGTTGGACTGAAAAGACTGGAGGAACAAGCTGCCAGGCTTCTATAAGAGCAGTTGAGTGACCCCTTCGTACGCTATTACGTTTGAAGGAATTTTTTTTAAAGAATATTAACAATGCTATAAACATTACTAACATTCCCCCTTAACCACTCGTGGTAAGCTTAAATTGCTTGTGTTACGAGTGGTTCACGCCAGTAGTGGGATGGTGGATTCGAACCCACGACCTTTTTGAGTTCGCGGTCCACGCCCTGCCATTAGGCTACTGTCGCTTTTAATATAGAGTTTTATACGTGGTAGAGCCATGCTGCAGTTATATTAGTAGTATAGTCGTAGCACGAATGGGTCGGCTCGACCGGGGAAGGACCACGCTCTCACAGAATATCAGCGTAAAATAGTAGCTTAAGCTGTGTTCGTATGATGAGTATAGAGAACCGAAGACCCATTTTACAGGAAAAGAAGCATGTTATCGTAATCAAAGGTAGATGCTGCCATGGGCAGCAGCACCAACTTACTATCAGGTGAACTGTGTCACTAATTCTACAAAAATATCGAATTAACACCCTCAACAGTCTTCTGCAGCCATTGGCGATCGTACCAGTACTACACGGAGTCTGTCATCCGGCCGGCTTCTTTCGTGGCAACCTCCTGCCCATCTTGGCACGAGTACAGAAGAGGCGACTGCGTAGACTCGCCGCAAGTTCATATGGGTTTCGGGATCGACACAAAGTATGATAAAACATCGTTTCTAATTAATATTATATATTTCGCCTGTTGTATATATATATACAACACGTAACATAATTAACGCACTTTGAGAAAGTAGTTTGTTCAGAATCGTTTACTGAATCGATTCCTATCATTTTTAATATAGGTAATTTTTTTATCCTAAAAATAATTAAAACTACGTAAATTACAGTCACACTAAATCTGTACAGTCAAAACAAACTGAAATGGACCGTAACTTAAGGCAATAAGACTTTTAAGAGTGTAGTTTTATTTGTATTATTACTAATTCTGTCATTCAATAAAAATAAAGAAAAATGAACTTTATTTCAAGCACGTTAAAGTCTTTGCGTTCGTGGATTTGTACTGTGACCACAACATTCTTCCGGAATTAGTATAACTGATTTGATAAATAATCAGTGCATAAAAATTCAGTGTATGTATTATGATTATAACATAATATATTAATTGGGGTGTCTATATATATATATATATATATATATATATATATATATATATATATATATGACTGCCTCGTTGGTCTAGTGGTTGTAGTAGTGCACAAAAGATTCTGGATTCGAGTCCCGGGTACCGGGCCAAAAAATCATCGGATTATGAGAGTGAGGGAATAGAGAGTGCACCTGTGCTTGCGCATACACTTGGGTACTATAATCCTGTCCTGCGCCGATGGCTAGTCTCCGTTGACGCAGGCCGCCGTGACCGAAAATCGGCCTGGGATAAGTTAAAATTAAACTTCTCCTGTAATATCAAAGAACAAACATTGACTCGTTAGTTTAGACTTCGATCACCTTAAAAGTGGCGATCAATCTTAATATATATAAATTACGCGTAACGTTGTTTGTCCGCGATGGATTCCTAAACTACTTAACCGATTTTAATCAAATTTGGACACCGTGTGCAGTTTGATCCAACTTGAGAGATAGGACAGTTTTTTGCCCATGAGTGTACCACAATTTTTTTTGCGAATTTAAGGATTTTAATAGAACGTGACGAAAGGTCGTCGAAAATAGCAGAACAACGTCTGCCTGGCAAGCTAGTATTGAATATATTTAAGAATATGTGAAATCAAACGTGAGGAAATCGTAACACTATTTTTATTGTTGTTGTGTAGTTTTAACTATTAGCGTAAAATATAATAAACTAGCAATAAGCGCCGGCTTTGCACGGGTTATTTCTGAATATCGACAAGAGCGCAACCTACCGGACTTAACTACGAATCTAAACCATTCTCGAATCAACTCAATCAAATCAAATTGCAAATCTGCAACTCGGTCCAACGTCGTAGCGTAGTCACTTTTATTAAATAAATTTTCCGAAGTGTTCATAATTATTGTCAAAGCTTGTTTGCTATTTTCTTCTTAATATACTAGTTATAGCATACGACGTTGCGTTTTTGTCTCTGCGTTACTCATAGTTTTGGTTTTATAGGGCGGCAAAGCTTAAGGTGACCATGTTACCTTCACGTACCTTCCGCATTAAACTTTTACTGTACCTACTAATATTTTTATATTTATTTCAGTGCTCGAGGCAATTTCTACTTAATGACGCATCGGGACTCACCCTTCTCTATACAATAGTTTGTAAATTTCTGTTAATGTTAATTATAAGTGAAAATGAAAAAAAAAAGTTTATTTATACAACTAAGGTGGCACAGATTAAAATATATAATATAAGATAGTAAAATGAAAGTACAGTAGGCTTATTTCTCTAGTGTGTACTTATAAACTATGATCTTATCACACCGACTAAGCTGAGTGAACTTGTATAAAACAGCATTGTATACTCGTGAGGGCTTACTACGATTTTCTTACCACATATGGCTTTCATAAATTGACACTGTGTCGACGTGCGATTGATAGATTACATAATTTTTTTAATAAAATATAGTAAAAATATAAAAACTGTTTACGTGGTAAAGCCATGCTGCAGCCATATAAGTTGTGGCACGAATGGGTCGGCTCAACCCGGGTAAAACCACTCTCTCCCAAACAACACCAGCGTAAAATAACAGCTTAAGACTGTTGTGTTTCGTATGGTGAGTGTAGAGAACCGGAGACCCTTTTTACTGGAAACGAGGCATTCCATCTTAGTCCTCACGGGTGACAACGCATCTGCATTTTGATTCGTAATCGAGGTTAGATGTAGATGTCTATGGGCCACAGCAACCACTTACCATCAGGTGGACTGTGTGCTCGTTTGTCACCTTTATTCTATTACAAAAAATTATAAAATAGAATAAAATAAATATTTATATTAAGTTAATATTTATAAATACAAGTAATTATAAGTAAAATAATAAATAGTTAATAAAGTAAATATTGTTATTCATAAATACTAAAATTTATTATAAATAATATAAATTAGTAACACCTATAGATGTATATGGATATTACTTATCGTATTCGCATATTTTATATAAATAAATTTAAGATTAATGCGTAGCTCATCACCACTGATTTTTTCTTTTAATCACAATACATAAGGACGAAGTTGTAAATTTGAGTTCTCATGAACGCAGAGTTGATAGTGGGACATGGCAAGAGGAATAAATAATCTTCGTTTTAACAATAGATTATAATCTGAAAACGCCAGGCTGAACAGTTAAGGTGTTCAACATGAAAAGTTGTGTTACATTTAATAGTCCACTGTCCTTGTTGCCAAAGCAGAGTGCTTAAGACCGATTTACACTTCGACAAGTACAGTAGCGAGTTTAGTTACAGGGCAGTTACCAGTAAACGGTTAAGTGGATAGTAGAAGTACGGTAGTAGTGTTCGAATGTCTTTGTGGCGTGTTTAATTAAAAAAGTACAATTTTATATTTTGAGGGTTGATCGCGAACACGTTTGCTGGCAACTTATGCACTGAACTAAACTCGATCGTTCACACGAGCGGTGAGTTTAGTTGCGGGGGAGCGGGAGACGCGCGGGAGGGCAGCACTTCGCAGTTAATATCGCAATTACACTTCGTCGTTAGCTCGTATTCGTTTGTCTATGAAATTCGGACAAACGACTAAGTAAGTGTAAATGAACGGAATCGAGTACGCGCGTCTTCGTACAATCTATTCCAGCTTTCGTTTTGGTTTTATTCCTACAGAGAGATAACTTCAACGACGAGTAAAACAATGTAAATAATGCATCGGGTGCCAGAATTCGATTAACGTCTTTCGTGTACCCCATAGAATACTATACATACATAATAGAGCGGGGGAGTGGGCGGAGCCCGCGTAGCCACTAAAATGCCACTAACACGTCAATTCACACGTATAAATGTCAACACGAGATGTGTTTTGACGTTACAATCGTTTCCAAATTTCGTATGCAAAAGTAAAGTAAAGTTACAGCCTATATACGTCTCACAGCTGGGCACAGGCCTCCGCTCATTTCTGAAAGGGTTTTAGGGCAAGGAATTGTCCGCCGCGCTGCCCCAATGCGTTGGCGAACTTCACAATGTCTTCGAAATATATTTTTTTATTTATTTCTCTGACATGCAGGTTTCCACATGGTAAATCAGCACTTAAAATTGCAATTAACAATTTCATTGGTACCGTCGGGGACCAATGAAATTAACCATCTGAGCTACCACTGCCGTCCCGAGCCGTGGTAGCTCAGATGGTTAGCGCTCGCTGTAAATTTCACAGTACGCGAGCAATCCGGGTTCGTATGCAAATTATTTAGAAAATGCCAAATTGCACCCTATTTACAAATAAATATTTATTAAAATCTGCCTGTCAACACAGTGAATCGGGTTGGTAGTAGTGATAATACGACGTTATTGCTTGTATGTGTGCTCCCGGCGACGCCTATCGTCGTACAAAATAAGGTTGACAGCCATTCTATTGTGTAATATAGTATCCTATGGTGTACTCGATTAAGGGCTAACGACCAAATGTAATTGCGCCCTAACTCGCCGAAAAATAGACTTCTCTTTACTTTGTAGTGTTGAACTTTCTACTTAATAGTTTACTTGCTACTTAACTCGCTAATTGCCATTCAAACGAGATTTTCTACTTAACTCGCCAGCTTCGCAAGTTAACTCGCTACCTTGACGAAGTGTAAATTAGTCTTTAGACATAAATAACATTTTATAATGTCATCGTCATAGTTTTTATAATGTCAAATAAATAATTAAAATGATTATCCTGTTTCATTACGCTCTGCGGAGTGTTTAAGAAAATTACTTTTACAAATTTTATGGCGTTTAATTTATTTTACTCCGGGATGTATGCACTATGTGAACATGTTTCAGATCGTTCAAGCCTTTACATCAGATATGGTAAACCGTGAAGTTTTATGATATTTGTTACAAATACATAAAATACATGAAAAATACGTGTGGCACTCGGTGACTGCCGCGGTAAAGCTATTGCATAGCATTTTTTATCAACTTATGCAATTATAATTATTTATTTTATTTATGCAGTTAAGTCTTTGATATTAAATCAAGTTACACTTTTTGAGCGTGGTGACCGATAAGAAAACAATTTTTTTTCTCTTATTGAATAAATGAGAAGTTAATATTGTTTAAAATATTTTTAATATCTTACAATACATGTAGGTTATTCAGGAATTTTTATCATTGAGTTAGCAGCTAAAGTCGTATTTTTAATTAGACGAAGTCAACTGACAGTAGCTAATGTCACTTTGTAAAATAATGTTCCATATTTAAAGTAATAGTGATGCGTTCAGTTCTCGTTCAATCAGATGAATGAACAATGAGTGTGAATAGTTAATCATTTCAAACTATAAAAGAATATTATTTCTATTTTACAATAAAATTGTATAAAAGTGCTCTGATATAAGTTACTAGTAGTATGTAACTACAATCAGTTTTTTGAGGTTTTATTACAAAGCGCGGCGCGGCGACTAGTGCCAACACCGATCAAGGCCGCGCGCGTCGGTCGCCATTTTGTTTGTTATTCGGCTTCTAACCTCTGGTCTGATAGCACGAATGTTTTTTCTGCGCTCACGCTGTTTAGTTATTGTTTTTGTTAAGTTTTTCGTTAGGTTGTGTTTGTGGTAATTGTTGTGTTTATTTGTTGCTATATTGTTTCGTACAAACGATATGGATCCTCAACCAAGCACGTCAAGCCAAAGCTTGTCTCCAAGAAAGAAGAGACCACGGATTGCTTTAAGCGTTACCGAAAAACTTATGATACAAAACGTCTACAAACACGTATTTGAGGAAAAAGCTGCTTCACTATTACCTATTGAGGCCCCCGAAAAAAAAGAATGTGTTTCGAAAACAGCTGACATTTTGGGAATTGGTGTGACCTCAGTTTACAGTGTGTTAAAAGAATGCAAAGAAAATGAACAATTTAAGTCTCCCGAGAAACGTGGACCGAAACACAGTTTCAAAGATAAATTAGACGATTTTACTTTTGCCGCTATAAGGCGAAAAGTACATAATTTTTTTTATGCAAATGAGTCACCCACCATTATAAAGGTAACTTAAACTTTATTCCTTCTACTGCATTATATTCTGTGTCCACCATAATGTTCTTTGTAAAACCAAAGTATTAGATTGCGTAGACTTCCTTACTCAAAACATATTTTATTACTTTACAGATTCTTAAGGTTGTCAATGAAGACCCAGACTTACCCAATTTTTCTTGGAGTACATTAAGAAATGTTATGAAACATTTAAATTTCAAATATGTCACAAAATCAAGACACAGCATTTTAATTGACAGACAGGACATTATTCTATGGCGCCAGCGATACCTTCGAAAAATTAAAGAGTATCGAAGGGAAGGAAGGTATATTTATTACCAAGATGAAACCTGGATCAACGAAGGTAATTACAATTTTCTGTTTTCTTTACATTAAATTGTACTTTCAAATAATTAATTGATATTTTTCACTATCTTGAAGGTCATGCACCGAAGAAGGCATGGATTGACTAGACAGTGTTATCGTCCCGCCAGGCCTTCCTAGATGGCTTGACCACTGGCTTAAAACAGCCTTCAGGAAAGGGCAAACGATTAATTATCGGCCATATAGGCGGGGAAGAAGGATTCGTAGAAGACAGCTTATTAATATTTGAAGCCAAAAAAAAAAAGAAGATTATCATCAAGAGATGAATGCCGATTCCTTTGAGAAGTGGTTTTGGGGTGTCTTGCCAAAACTAAAACCAAATTCCGTAGTAGTGATGGATAATGCCCCCTACCACTCCAGGAAACTAGAATCGCTGCCTAAAATGTCTTGGACTAAACCTAGAATACTAGAGTGGCTAACGAGCAAAAATATTTCATTCGAAGCAACAATAGTTAAAGCTACTCTTATAGACATTGTACGGCAGCACAAGCAAGAACATTGCGATAAGTATGTTGTGGACGAGATGGCAGCGCAGCATGGGATAATTGTTTTACGTCTGCCCCCATACCACTGTGAGCTCAATCCCATTGAGTTGGTATGGGCGCAGGCTAAAGGATATGTTGCAAGAAATAACAAAACCTTCAAAATGACAGAAGTAAAAAAACTTTTTGAAGAAGGACTTCAACATATCACACCTGAAAAAATGGAATAGCTGCGTGTCTCATATAATTAAAAAAGAAGACAAAATGTATGGTCTCGACCACATGATTGACAATGTTACTGACAGATTTTTAATTAATGTCACCGAAAGCGATAGTGATGATTTTTTATCTGATAATGAATAAAAACAAATTATGTAATAAGCGATTTTTTTTATTCTGATTACCTACCTATAATTGTTATATTTTATACATCTATAGTTTCAACTACATGATGTATTGAAAATAGGACAGTCTTACAAGTTTCCTCGCAATATTTTCCTTAATGTTTAAAACACTCGGTATTCAGTATAGGTAGATATTATAGGAACATAGTCGTCGAAAACTCGTTGGTATGTAAAAGCACGACTAAAATTCGAACCCCGTACCCGATATCGGCAGTTCAGCACACTAACTATTCACTAGACAATCGAGGCAATTTCATTAATTCAGGAGTTTTTCAATCATTCACTTTGTCACAACACTATTTTTATTTCATCAAAAACTGACAACACAGTAAACGTCAGTTGACTTCGTCTAATTAAAAATACGACTATAGTATACACGCATACGTCTAGTCGCACGCACACAAACACCGTGCCGAAGTCTGCCGATGCCGTTGCCACTGACACGACGTTAGACGATGCACGGCTTTCAACGCCACACCTCCGTGCCCGTCGGAGTGGGGAGCGTGAGGTTTTTTTCGTTACGGAATTTCTGGATTCGGTCCCCGCGCTCAAGGCCCGCGATAGAAGCTATGCAATAGCTTAACGATAGTCATTTATTTTGGAATTTTCCCATCTATTACAATTAAATAAGATGTGAATACTATAAGAATACAAGTGTTTTATTCATGCCCGTGGAGTGTATGTTAAGGCAAAAAAGCGTTTATTTTAAATTTTGTTCTGCGGTTTTATATTTTTTTATATATAATAAGGGTGGCAAACAAGCAGACAGTCCAAATAATGGTAAGTAGATGCTGTGGCCCATAAACATCTACTTTAAAATTTTTCATAGGTTTCAGAAAATTAAAGCAAACAACACATGCTAGTGACGTGCACGCTCGTAGCTGACTTGATAGAATAAAATTTTAAATAATTTTATGAAATAATTTTAGAGGTCTATTCTTTAACAAAAGAACCTCAAACCTGTAACGTTTTAACTTAAAAAATAATGAAACAGCACGGAAGGGCGCCGTAAACTACCTAAAACCAGAGCGCGAGTGTAAACACCACGCTTGCGTCCCGCGCGAGACCCTTTGACTCGTGCCTAAAAATCCGCCTCCGACGGTAGCGCCGCGAGAGTGTAAACACGGGCAATCAAATAATTCATGAAAAAATAATTTTACTACTTTGCGGAATTGCTTAAATAGATGGATATATAAAGTGTTTATTTGTTTCTCCAATCACACACGTAAATTCAATGACTAAACTAGATATAATACAAATCAAAGTATTATGAAAAAAATATACATAAACTTAAGATCAAAATGTACATGTACGTTGCAGTTTAACAAATGGGTCATAGCTCAGCGGTTAATATTGCTCAGAGAGCAAACACTGATTTTCAGCTATTACCCTCGAGGTGGCGAGAAGAAAATGAGCACAATAGTACAATCAGAAAGAAATAAAGAAAAAACTATGTTTCTGCACGTTAATATTATTTTAGTGTAATTATTTGTGAATGATGTGTCCTTTCTGCTCTACGATTTCTATCTTGGGTTAGATTTAGTAAAAAATTACGGAAAAGATGTGTAAGACTGCGAACCTAATTAAGGCTAGTACCTGAATGACTTAGCCAATCATGATGAGTTAGTAAAAAAAAAAAAAGAAAATGCCATGGCTTATAGCTGTCAAACGAAGTGTTTGGGAATACCTTGTTTTTATTTATCTAGAAGATATGTTTTGAATTTATTTCTAAACTTGTAGTTGGTGTTTATGGTGCTTACGGATTACAACCGTTTTTATATCTATATAATGGTCCATCTGTCTATGGAGTGTAGAAGTAAGGAGTACAGACTGTGTATTAAAAAGTGTCCATAAAAACCGTTAAATAAGGGTGGCGCCACTATAGCTACGGGGTAAATTTTAAAGAACGCGCCGAAAACTATTAGTGGGATAGACGACTTTTTCGCGGTTATATTTACTAAATAAAATTATTTTAGATTTTAGAGCTACTGAGCAGTTTAGCAGCATACTTAAACCATCGCCAACTGCTAAGTTCATTTCATCCTAGTAGCTACTCCAGCGCTGTAGTGGAGTGTTTTTGAACTGTTATTTACAGCTTATGGATGGACACTTTTTCAACTATTCTACTATGGAAGTTGGTACTCCTTACTTCTACACGCCATACATCTGTCACTAAGAATGACAAAACCTAATTGGAGTTATAAAAGAATTCATTAACAGCCAAAATTAAGATTATTGATTTGAGAAGTTAACTGTACAGTGGCGGTGTAAGAATGTTCACTACCCAATATCATCCCATGGGTGTCGTTAGAGGTAATAGAGGGGAATCAATCAGGAGATGGGCTGCAGCGTCTTCCTAATAAATAGAGATATGTGGTAGAGCCACGCTGCAGCTATATTATGGTTACAGCAAGAATGGGTCGGCTCGACCGGGGCAGGACCACGCTCTCACAGAATATCAGCGTACAATATCAGCTTAATGCCGCTGTGTTTCGTATGGTGAGTGTAGAGAACCGGAGACCCTTTATACTGGAATCGAGGCATTACATCTTAGTCCTCACGTATGATAATGCAATTGCATTTTTAATTCTTAATCGAGGATAGATGTAGATGTCTGTGCCACAGCATCCACTTACCATCGGTGGACTGTAAAAACAAGATGGTCCGAATATTCGTTTCATATTCAGTATTCGGCATATTCGACAGCTTTACCTAATATTCGTATTCGGCCAAATATTTGGCTAAATCACAAAACATTCGTTAAAATAGTACTCAAAGTGTACACTGTATTGATATGTACGAATTGAGTAATGCCATATCTTTCATAATTTTACTGTTGAAAGTTTATTTTATCTATGGGTTAAATCTACTTGTATACCGTTATGTTTTTGTGGTACTGTAGATTTAGTTCCAATTATAGCAAAAAGAAAGCTTGATAAAATGTTATTGAAATCAAACAAAGAAACATTACATTATATTAGTACATTTCATTTAACTTCGGTCGTCAATTTCTCCAAAATAAATAGAAATAGTAGATTTCCTACCAGACATTTTTTTCATATAATAATCAATTTTTACTAAGAATGACACAACGAAATACTTTTATTCTCACAAAAATTGTCAAAACATAAGCATGTGCCGGCAATGTGCTCAGTACTAGTGCCGCAATAACATGTCAGGTGTGGCGGGGAGCGAGGGGCGGGGTCCGGCGCTAATCCCGTGCGCTTTACGGTAACAAGTTTCGACATAAATTGGTTAGGTACCGAGGTGATCCGGCCGAATGTATGAAATGTTCGGCCGAATATTCGGTTCGGTAAAAGTTTTACAGAATTTTCGGCCGAATATTTTTATTCGGTGAAATCTATATGTAACGTAATTAACGCACACCTCGAACCAAAGTATATTATATTATATCATAATACATACACTGAATTTTTAGTTAAAATTTTAGATTATTTCAAATTAGTTATACTAATGGAAGAATGTTGTGGTTCACTATAAAACGCAAGACTTAAGTTTTTGAAATAAAGTTTATTTTCTTTATTTTTATTGAATGACAGAATTAGTAATAATCAAATAAAACTGCACTCTTAAAATTCTTATTGCCTTAAGTTACGGTGGTCTATAGAGATATTGACTGATAGTTTTAATTATTTTTAGGATAAAAAATTCTATATTAAAATGATGGAACGATTCTGAACAAACTAAGTTTGTTAGTTGTAGACAATCCATGGGGGAGGCCTATGTTCAGCAATGGACTTTAATACGCTCTAACGGTAACAATTTGAGAAGTCAGTCAACACGTGGGTATATTTTTATAAACGCGTGTAGTTAGTAGTGGGTACCTGTAGAGGTGGTGCTGGTGCAGCAGCGAGCCCAGCACCAGCGCGTGCAGGTAGACGGGGCGCAGCAGGCGCGTGAGCAGCGCGCCCTGCAGCCCCACCACGCACCAGCGCGCCGCCTTGTCCGAGCACGACATCGTCAGCAGCCGCTCGCCCTGCCACAACACAAACACTTTACCCACATCCGGCTCGGGGGACCACGCCCGCTCGAAACACCACCATTAAATAACACCGTAATACACTTTGGACGGTTAATCACGAGAACCGGATGCCCTATTTAATGGTCACGAGTCATTCGGTACTGATCTTCAAAGCGTTTTTACATTGACCGATACCGTTAACAATATACCGTCACCGTCACCATTATATTATGTGCAGCTGCAAAAGAAAAAAAGAAATATCCTATCACTAGAGAAATAATAATGGAGAATAAAAATGTATGTATGTATGTTGCCGTATGGACTGACCAAGATTATACATATTACTAAAAATCTACTAAGGCAACAAATTTTGGATTTTCAATATGTTACCCAAGTTACAAGCGTTTTATGAAAAGTGTGTACTGCCTGAAACTATCGACTCGAGATATGCTCGGTCAATGCCGTTACGGCAAATATTTTTATAATAAAAAAATATGGTGACTGTAAGTACCGATAAAAAATATAATTGTTACAATTGGTTGTTTTATTTATCAAAACAGGTTGCAACCGTACTATTTATTTATTTATACCACTATGCTATCGTTAGTAGATATAATCGATTATTAACCAACATCGATTAACAATCGATCACTGCGAAACAATTAAAATATTTATGTGTATTTATTTCAAAACTAAAGTTCATAAATAACGAAAAATATATCAAATACATTATAATAACTTAATTAGATAACATAAAAATGACATAACAAAAAATTTCCATCCACTGAACTCCATCCTAAGAAAATGGAAGATCAAGATCGTTTAGTCGCTATACTCACAGTACTGTAGTGCGAGCGATTGAAAAGATATGCAATAAAGTATCGCTCGCGTAGTTCGTCGCCCGTTCGATGCGTAAAATACCTAAATTTGCCTAGCACCAAAATGTAAGAGGGCTCTTAACTAAATAAATAAAAAATAGATCAATACTACCTTTTTAACTACTTAGTTCGAGGTCTGTATAGTAAGATAAAAATGTCTTGCCAGTTTAAATATCAATTAGTTAAGACCGGGAATTCCATCAACCCACCCTTAAGCTATTAAAAAAATATAAAGCTTGCAACTTTGAGCTCACCTGCAAAACTCCGTCCCAGGTCTGGATGATGTTGTTGCAGTTCTTCACGGGTATTGTGCCCTCCCCGGACTCTATCTTGGTCCTCAACTGGCCACGAGCGAGCCTGTCGGCGAAATATGAGTATTCATGTACATTTAGTATGGATATACATGGTAACGACTATGTACGCGTAAAAGGAACTTGTCGAGATATTATTTAGCTAGACTTAAAACTAAGATCAGACTAACATATCGTTGACATAGATTTCGCAGTTTTTCGACCGACTTAAAAAATTAAGGAGGATATTCTCGTCGGAATATTTTTTTATGATAAAGATATTAATAGTTACTTTGCAACCATCCGCTCAATTAAATACAATGATGTGTCTTACCTAGATGGAAGAGCACCTCCCACCCTCCCTCAATTGCGTGCACTAATCCCGTCACCACTAAACCCAGCACCGCTAAGTCATCACTCAGTCAGTCAGTCACTTAGCAGTCAACCGCCGTAGAGTCTACATCACCTGTGGATGCCTCGTGTAGAGGCGAAGCACGTGTCGTATTGTCATCGATGGTGTGTCTTTCCTGGAATAGTGGTGTTGGGGGCAGTGGTGCTGGGATTAGTAGTGACGGGATTAGTGCATGCAATTGAGGGAGGGCATTTTATTTATTTGAGCGGATGGTTGCAAAGTAACTACTTTATTATAATGGATTTCCGCAAAGTAGCGCCTGATTCTATCAATTTTTTTTACGTATTAACGATAATTCTTTACCATTAAAATACTGTAATGAACAAACAAACTTACAGTCCACCTGATGGTAAATGGCTATTTCAATCAATGGACACCTGCGGCGAACTTCAGAGAATACTACAGACGCGTTATCACCTTTGAGACCTTGTATGAGATGCGTTATCACCTACGAGACCTTGGATGATAAGTGTTATACTGTATTTATACCCTGGCTCTTTGAAATGTTCAGACCGCAACACAGCAGCGCAGATATTTTATATTATTTATTTTATGTTATTTATCTATTCATACGCTGCTATTTATTAGCCGAAATAGTTTAAAGGGGGGGGGGGGGGGTACGAGAACACAGTCTACCAGTCAGCCTATACACGTCCTATAGCCGATCACACGTCTTCACTCATTTCTTAGATCTGACCTGTGATTACCTCGTCACGCTGTTTTAATGCGTGTTGGCAGACTTCACATGTTGATTTCTTGTATTTACGCGAATACTACACATTGATTAAAATTACTTTTACGGATTTTATCGCGTTTATTTAACAATTATTTTTAATTCCCGACGTTTCGGGCGCTTTCCAGCAACCATAGTCACGGGGGACTGAGATGACTGACGTCCCGATGTCATTGTTAAACCCTGAGTACCTTCAGCTTTTTTAATTATTGTTTATGGTCCGATCTATGCAAAATGAACTATGTCCTGAGGTCTTGCAGTGGTATGCTTGGGTTTAGTTTTAATTTTATTGATTATAGGATCCCAAGTAGGTGGTACTACCCAGCCTCCTTCTCTATTGAAGTTAGAATGTTTTTTAATTTCAATAGCCTCACGTATCATCCTTGGTAGGAATCGAGGATTTGTGGTCTATCAAATCTGATGTAATGGTTGGGGCCGTCTAGGATATGATCGCAAACTGCAGACTTCTGCCTGACTTTAAGTCTGCAGTTTGCGATCATAAGCCCTATGTCTTCAATGAACAGAAGGAGTTGCTTAGCTGTGAGTAATTTCACTTCTTCTGGGCGGAGTAGATAGTGTCCCAGATGAGTGTTACGTTTGCGCATTAAGGTGACTCTAGTCGACATTATTTCCATAGAAATTTCGGAGGGGTTTTACTCCGCTGTTTGACAGTGTACATCCAAAGTTAAACATGATATTGTTTTGTCTCATTATTAATTTTGTCTGTACCGAAACAGAATAGTAAAATAAAAAGTCAGTAAAAAGTTACGAGCTACCAAAGATTCGTTTTTATTGCCAATTTTAACACAACTTTGGGCGTAAATTAGTAATAAAAGCAGTGTAAAATTTCCAAAACAAAGTCGGTACCGACACAGCTCAATTATCGAAGAATTCAATAAATTTTATTGGTAATTGATTCATGCAGTGGGTTTTTCATAAAACCCCTCCTTCCAAAGGCCTTTTCGTATTTTTTTACGCGCGCGTGTTTATATGAATTATCGTGCATCTCACTGAATAATTTTTCCCTCGGTGCGGTGCGGGAGGACGTCACTTACACACACATGCATGCGCGGTGACGCGCGCTTATTCTAGTTTTATTCGACGTCATTGTCAGCTGCGGCCTGTGACGTTCGTATGACTATAGCTATACCTGCGCTCTAAATTACTACGCTACATTGGGTGCGTTTGGCAGAAAAAAGCGCTAGCAAGCGCTTGTAAGCAAAATGGCGATCGTAAGCGCTGTCAAATCGTAAGTAGCTATTTTCCTCCAGGACACGATGTTAGTTTTAACCGGGGAATCTAACCTAATTTAAATATATGTTTGTAAAGTATTCATATTAAAAACTTACCAATCATGAATTTTTAATAACATGTATATGTTTATTCATGTCATTATATTACTTAAAACTAATATTGCACAAAACTACTTATAAACTCTACTTCAAAACAAAGAAATTAAATAAGCAAAATGGCGGATTGTGTCAGCGCTACTGAAGTAGCAATCGTGTCCTGGCCGAAAACTATTTTAGCGCTTATAAGCGCTTGCTTGCGCTTTTTTCTGCCAAACGCACCCATTGACCCCTGCTTGAACTTTGGATTAAATCAAATTGATATAAGCACAGACAAAAATAGAGGAAAATATAAATAAAATTTTGAAAAAAAAACAATCTCAAAATTTTATTAATGTTCCGCTAATTTTATCTGTACTTACCTATGTCAATTTGATTTACATTCGATTATAATTATATTCTCAGACGTGCAGGTTTCCTCAATATGTTTTCCTTCACCGCCGAGCACGTGGTAAATCAGCACAATTGCAATTAACAATTTCATTGATACCGGCGGGGATCGAACTCGGGTCTGCATGTCTGAGAAATTAAAAAATATATATTTCGAAGAAATGTGAAGTTCGTCAACACGCATTGAGGCAGCGTGGCGGACATTTCCTTGCCTTAAAACCCTCTCAGAAATTAGAGGAGGCCTGTGCCCAGCAGTGGGACGTATATAGGCTGTAACTTTACTTTTTTTTTACTTTTATAAATATGTTATTTTACCGACGAAAATTTTAAAGAAAAATAAAAAATAAGCAACCGACAACCTCCTAGGTCCCTAGGTGACTTGCGAGATGTCAGTGTAACAAAACAAAACGGCCCAGAAAAACAGACTTTCCAACTGATTTGACAACTGACAACTTTCCAGCTAAATTAGCACGCAACAATTTCATTGGTGCCAGTGGGGATCGAACCCGGGTTGCTCCCGTACTGTGATACTTATAACGAGGGCTAAACATGTGAGCAACCACGGCTCTCAACGACATCGTTCCGTTCGTGTACAGCGCTGAAGATAGCAGAGTAAAAAATTAGAGATTGTGGTGTTTGAAATTTTAAAAAATGTGTTTTTGTTACTAGTACTTTCATATGCATTTAATAAAAAGCTGTTATTTTAACATTACAAACAGACACTTAAATTTTATTTATTTGTAGATATAGATATAAGATATTATTCATATTGGTGTCATTTTAAAGGGAATATCATGTACTATTATAATAATAAAATAATTCTCTCCAGTAAATATTATGCTTTTCTTGTAAAACTCGAAATAACAAATAAATACGATTTCTTAAATTTACGCGAACACTACACATTGAATAAAACTATTATTCACGGGGGGGGACCATGGGCGCTGTAAAGCACCCGAAACGTCGGGATAGTAATAAAAATAAATTAAAGTAATTAAACGCGATAAAATCCGTAAATAATAGTTTTATTCAAATAAATACGATTTATTTTTATATTCCCATATGCTTTATTTTCATCCTTTATTTTTTATTTGACCAATTTTCTTTTAACAAAATTAAATTCTGAATTGGTTGAGCTTTTTGAGAATATTTTTATTTGAATGTTAGGTAGGTACCTATTTAGTTTTTCAGTAGTAATCGTTTTTGCCTACCTACTACTACCTGCCTAAGTACGTCGGTACTAAGGAAACAGTCTTGACGGGTCACTTGTCTTGATAAAAACATGTGTTTACATCTAGTGATATTGTGTGTATATAAAAAAAGTAAGAAGACAGGTAAGTATTTTGAAAACAATTTATAGGTAGGCAGAACTAATTACAATTATTATCTAAATATTATAGATGCGAAAGTTTGGATGGATAGATGTATGTTACTCAATCACATAGGTTATACCTAGTCTGGAATAACACATTTTTTGATACCGTTTATTCAGGTATTTCGTTCCTATGGGATAATTTTCGAGTTCACGCGTTTGAAGCCGCTGGCAACAGCTAGTACGGATATAAACTGCGATGACTGTTCCAGTTCATGCTTCGGCGTCGTGAACTCTTGAGTGATCGCTGCATGACCACCCGGGGAAAACAAAACATAATAAAATAAGTAATCTATATTAGGTATCTATAGAGCCATAGAGGTATAGTATAAAGCGATAACGTAGCGCAGTGCCTAATAATTTAGTACGAGTTTGTAGGTAGGTACTGCTGATTTCTTAGCAAGCGTCGAGCGGCACAGAATAGGGTGGTATGTATGTGTGCATCGTGTTCGTGTAACTTCGTTTTTGTTCTAACGGTTCGGAACGCCGTACGAACAAGACGTGCGTTCTAACTGCTCTTCACTGGTACTATCTCTGTCGGGCACGATGCCAGGTGAGACAACGTGCTTTTTGGCCGCGCCCACCAATGAGTTCGAGCCCGCGACTTGAGCCACCTTAAGGGTCCGCAATCAGTTAGGATTAGAGCAGTGGTAGCTGAGGGGTTTAGCGCTCGCTTTAAATGTCACTGTACGCGAGCAATCCTGGTTCGACCCCCGCCGGCACCAATGAAATTGTTAATTGCAGTTTTCAGTGCTGATGGTGAAGAAAACGTTATTAGGGAACCTACATAATAATAATATCCTCCAGACCGAATTTCGGTCACGGCGGCCTGCCTCAGCGGAGGCTAGCCATTGGCGCAGGACAGGATTATTGTGCTTAAGTGTATGCGCAAACACAGGTGCACTCTCTCTTATTCCCTCACTCTCGTAATGCGATGGGACGGTAAACCGACACGACCGGAGAGAGATCAAGCGCAGGACCAACGGCTTTAGGTGCTTTCCGAGGCACGGGAGTGAGACACTGCCAACTTCCTAACTCCGGGCAGCTACTGAGAATTTCTTGACGAAAAAACTCAATAATTAATTTTTTGACCCGACCCGGGATTCGAATCCGGGACCTTATGATCAGCAATCGCACTACTAAAACTACTAGACCAACGAGGCAGTCAAGGGAACCTACACATCCGAGAAATAAACAAAAAAATTAGAATAAACGTTTCGCCAACACACTTTTGACAGTGCGGTGGACACAACCTTGCCTTAAAACTTTCTTAGAAGTGATAAAAAACTCACTCCTAAATAAGAGAGGAGTGTTGAGAATGCTAGAACTTACCGGTTTGGGTGTTTATCCGGTTCAGACTCGTTATGCTCGTGTGGACTGAAGATCCGTCCGTCTCCGCAAGGCGCCGTGCTGACGTACAGATGTATCTGACGGTCCGGCTTTAGCTGGTACCCGCCCTCAGGCAATGGCTCCAGGTCTGATTGCGGTATCGGCTTCCGTGGATCTGAAAGGGAGATTTCCAGAACATACACCATAGGCGTTGGATGACATGATCTGGTTCACCGCCAACTTCACTCTCTGAACGTTATTTCCAATTTTCATTCGTCTAAGTCATAGTATACTATAATACATACATAATAAAACGTAGGTGTGGGCGGAGCCCGTGTAGTCACTAACATGTCACAACGCGTCAATTCACACGTATAAATGCCAACACGAGATGTGTTTTGACGTTACAATCGTTTCCAAATTTCGTATGCAAATTATTTAGAATATGCCAAATTGCACACTATTTACAAATAAATATGTATTAAAATTTGCCGATGATCTTGAACATTAATCAAAAGCCTAAAATGTTTAAATTTACGCATTCTGTCAACACAGCGAATCGGGTTTGGCGACGCCAATTCTCGTATAAAATAAAGTTGACAACCATTCTATTGTGTATTATAGTATTCTATGGTCTAGATGGTAGATCCTCGTTGCAGCTATGCTTGCAAGACATAACCGGGCACGAATAGGTTAGCTCGACTGAGATAGGACCACGATCTCACAGAAAACTAGCGCCACATAGCTGAATAATGCTGCTGTGTTTCAAACAGTGAGGTATTCCATCTTAGTAGTGCACAGTATATACATTTTGATTCGACAACACCCACTTACCATCAAGTGGACTGTGTGCTCGTTTGACATCAAAAAAGTTTAATGATTTCTTATATTGACGCGAACATTACACATTTTAAATAAAACTAATTTTTAAATAATTTTAATCTGGTACCTCCAGGAACATTCGGCGCGGTTGAGGTGATACCTCGAACATTTGGTGGTTTTTCCACGGCACATATTTTTTTAAGTTTTATTAATTGAAAACCAAATTTTCGGGTATATGATTTTTGACTATATGACCTTGGATTGCATAAAAGGGAAAACACGATATTATCATGAAATTTTCTCGATAGAAAAAAATTGGCTGTAATTAATTACATTTCTCCTTGACATCACAATATTTTTTACGAATAAGTTCATGGAATTATTTTTAGGGCATAGTAAATGATCATCACTAAGTTCTCATATACCATATTTTAAACCATAACGAAGTTATGTTAAAAAAAGTTGTTTGGCGCTTACTTAGTTTATTTCCGAACGTGTGATCGGTATGGCTATCTCATAATTTGCGTACTATGAAGTCATTGCATCACTTTCATTTTGACACTCCCTCAGGCGACCGTGAGCTTCACCGACGCAGGAATAAGCCACGCCCCAAAAACTACGATTAATTTTCAAGGTATCCTCTTAACTATGACATTGGGACGTCAAACATCTCAGTCCCCCCGTAACCATGGGTGCTGGTGCTCGAAACATCGGGAATATATATAATATGTTATCGGGAATGTGTCAGAGAATCCAACACCCTACTTCGCCTTAAGTGTGTAGTAAAAGGCGATAATGGGATATTTCATAAAAATTGCGATTTCTAATAGATGGCGCTATAACCAACTAGTATAAGCCAGACCGGTGCGTAAAGCAGCAACTTTAAAAACTTATATCACTTAGTAAGGTGTCAACAACTCTCAAGACTATTGCATAAGAATCCTTACCTGATGAAGACGCATACATCAGAAGCTGAGCGTACAGATGCCTTTGCAGACAGCGACGGGCTGCCACCTAAAATAATAACATATTTCGAATGGAATAAGGTTGCTCTTAGAATGCAGGTTGATTGGCATATAAATTATCACAAAAAGTAAGGCATGCTATTGTTACATTTAAGTAAATCTTTGTAGAGTACAAAACTAAAAGAAAAGTTACTGCCTACATCCCACAGCTGGGTGAAGTGTACATATTTACTTTATGGTTTTAATTAAATTATTAAATGTTTTACCTAAATGTAATTCAAAATAACTGTAATGTTTAATTTTTAAAATATACTTTTTTTAATTAGTTATGTAAAACGGTAAAAAATTTTGTATAGCACGATGTGGTGAATTTCGACGAATGAGACAATTATGGAATAAACCAGAAAGACCTTGTGTATTCAGAAAAATGGCGGTATTACCAAAATAACGAAAACCATAGTCTAAGCCACTAAGCCATGGCTCAGGTCAGATCCACGCACTTTTAAACAATTCGTTGCTCATCGATTGGCTTAGATCGAAGATCACAGCAGGCCATACGAATGGCGATGGGTACCGACACCAATGTGGCAGATGACGCTACTAGGAATTCCTCGGGGTCTTTAGTAAAGAAAAATCACAAAGAAAAGAGAGTCGCCGAGTCTACCCGACTACGGACACATCAAAAATTTCGGAAGATTCCTTAGGGCAACTGCACGTACAATGCAAGCAAGTGTTCGTAACACCAAGTGCCGTAACATTTTTGTCGGGTCTAAACCCAACATAAAATGTTACGAACGAACGAATTAACCCTTCAAACACTATAAAAATACCATGCGGTCGCATGCGACCGCTCGAGACCTACCCACAGCACTTAAAACCATTAAAACTTTTAGAGACTACTTTTCTATGAAGAAGCTTGGCATTATAAAATCTATACAAAATTATCTATCTTGTGCTCTAAACAATATTCAGGTTTTACTTCATTACAAAAATATTTTATTGTATTTTTATAACAAAAATAAACATACCAAGCGAATGTCCGCAGCGTGAAAATCACAATTATTTCAATATATATTTCTTGAAATTATTTACGTTAAAAGATAAATTATATTCACACAAAAACTTTCATTATAATTTTATAATAAAACACTATAACAAAACACAAGAAAAATCCAAAAATCAACACAATAACATTCATGCGGAAATGGCGTACGAAATGAACGTAGATTATAAATAAATATTCATAGGATAACAGTTTTTTTTATTGCACTAGAGGATAGAGTATTTCATATTGATTATATAACGCCAAACTTTTCAAATTCATTGAATTTACGTTCTATAAATGAAAACAAACCACTGGTTTCAAGGATAACGGTGTTTACACTAACAACTGTTTGTATAATTAATATTTTTGAAAGAAACATTAATCTCCACACTTATTTAACAAATTCTCATTCCCCGCTATGAATCTTTCGAATATATCACTTTGTTCTTAAAAGGCACTGCCCTCCTGGCAGATTCATGGATGCCTTCATGGCAAATATTATAAATATTTTACTGATTAACCCCATTTTTGAGGGTGAAGGAAACCATCATGTCTAAGGAACAAAATATTTCAAGGGCATGTGGGCAAGTTTTTATACGCTGCAGCTATATTATAGTTGCAGTACGAATGGGTCGGCTAGACTGAGGTGTCCTACCTCACAGAATACCAGCGTAAAATAACAGCTTAATGCTGCTGTGTTTCATATGGTGAGTGTAGAGAACCGGAGACCCTTTTTTACTGGTAACGAGGCATTCCATCTTAATCTTCAGGGGTAACAATGCATCTGCGTTTCGATTCTTAAACGGGGATAAATGTAGATGTCTATGGGTCACAGTATCCACTTGCCATTAGGTGGACTGTGTCCTAGGTTGCCATCGTTATTCCATTAAAAAAAAGTAATTAAGCCCAGCGTGGAGAGACATTTTGCTCCAAAACCTCAGAAAAGAGAGGCCTGTGCCCAGCTGTGGAATGTATATAGGCTGTAACTAAGAAATACGTATGAATCCACAGCTAGACTCGGAGAACATATTTTACTTGTTGCTAAGCTGATGCTTTAACTGACCCGTAAACACATATCTATCCTAGATTAGGAATTCAAACGTAGATGTGTTGCCACCTCAGAGGATTATGATGTAATGCCTCGTTCGTTTTCAGTACTTTTAACTGTTTCCGGTTCTCTATACTTACAATACAAAACACAGTGGCATTTGATTGGTATTCCACGTCGGTATTTTATACCAGCTTGGTATTTGGAGCCGACTCATTGGTAATTCATAGTAGAAATGGGCCGAATATTCGTTTCATTTTCCGTATTCGGCATATTCGGCAGCTTTACCGAATATTCGTATTCGACGGAATATTCGGCTAGATTATCGAACATTCGTCAAAGTGGTACTCAAATATACATTTTTATATATATATACAAAGTGTCTACTGTATTTATATATATGTACGAATTGAGTAATGGGATGTCTTTCGTAATTTTACTGTTGAAAGTTTATTTTATCTACGGGTTAAATCTACTTGTATACCGTTATGTTTTTGTGGTACTGTAGATTTAGTTCCAATTATACCAAATATAAAGCTTGATAAAATGTTTTTCGAATCAAACAAATAAACATTACATTACATTAGTACATTTCACTTTACTTTGGTCGTCAGTTTCTCTAAAATAAGTACAAACAGTAGATTTCCTACCACACATTTTTTTCATATAATAATCAATTTTCACTAAGAATGACACAACGAAATACTTTTTTTTCTCACAAAAATTGTCAAAACATAAGCATGTGCCGGCAATGTGCTCAGTACTAGTGCCGCAATAACATGTCAGGTGTGGCGGGGAGCGAGGGGCGGGGTCCGGCGCTAATCCCGCGCGCTTTACGGTAACAAGTTACGACATAAATTGGTTAGGTACCGAGGTGATCCTGCCGAATGTATGAAATGTTCGGTCGAATATTCAGTTCGGTAAAAGTTTTACCGAATTTTCGGCCGAATATTCGTTTTCGGTGAAAACCATGTTCGGCCCAACTCTAATTTATATGCTATTAAGTCTTGTATAACCGTTTTTAAATTTTTTGTCTGTGTGTGTGTCTGCGTGACCGGGCTAATATTTAGAATGACCGAATCGATTGCGATGCAACTACACGAATGGATAGAGACGAGTGATCTACGCTGTTTTTTATCTAAAAAAAACCTGGAGATTTTTTTGTGAAATCGAATATTATCTTAAACATAAACGATGTAATATTAATATAAATACAAGGCAGACGAAGCCGGCATTGGTTGCTAGTGTAGCGGCGCTGTCGTCGCGCCACAAGCGAAACACACCGAAGCCTAAATCGCGCTATCAACATTCCGAATCATAAACAGTATATATAGAACATCTCCGAACTATCACATGGAGTGTCGGCCGCTCCCCGGGCAGAACACCTTGCCCGGCGGGAGATCTCCCCTTTTCCTACCACGGCCACACTAGTCAATACATATTTGTATTTGTATTTGTCCTATGAAGTAGAGATGAGCCGAATATGGATTTCAACAATGTATTCGTTGAAATCCATATTCGGCCCATCTCTACGTCATATCTACATAAAGATGTCTCAGTGGTTATCGCGTGTGTTGGTAATTACCTCTGCATGGCAGTCGTTCACGGCCATTCCCGTCACTGACATATGCTCCCCAGACACGCACTTGGTGCCAGTGGTCACAGCTATCACCTGCAAGAAAAACCTTGGGTAAGTTCAACAGTTATGTTAGTTAAAGGCCTCTGCCCTGCTGTGCACCGCTGAGCACAGCCTCCTTCACCCAATTTGGTCTCGTGGATGGGTGAAAGAGACGACTATGTAAAACGCCGGAAACGTTACTTAGCCTCTGATAGATAACGATATAACTATTATGTCAATACCAGACGTACAATACTTACAAAATAATAATTATTAATACTTTTAAAAGAGAGCCGTGGTAGCTCAGATGGTTAGCGCTCGCTGTAAATATAACAGAACGCGAGTAACCCGGGTTCGATCCCCGCCAGCACCAATAAAATTGTTAATAGCAATTTTACGTGCTCGGCGGTGAAGGAAAACATCGTGAGGAAACTTGCATGTCTGAGGAATAAGAAAAAAAATATTTCGAAGAAATGTGAAGTTCGACAACACGCATTGGGGCAACGCGGCGGACACTTCCTTGCCCTAAAACCTTCTCAGAGATGAGGGGAGGCCTGTGCCCAGCAGTGGGACGTATATAGGCTGTAACTTTACTTTTTTTACTTTTAAAAGCGACAGTAGCCCAATGGCAGGGCGCGGATCGCGAACTCAAAATGTCGTGGGTTCGAATCCGCCATTTGCCTACTGTCGTGAACCATGCCTAACACTAGCGTTTCAAGCTTACCAGGAGTGGTGAAAAGGAATATCAGTAATGTTAATTAATAAGACTACTAATATTTTTTGACAAAAAAAATACACAGACCGTTCCGTTGTCTTAATTTTACTTTCTTGTTGCTGTGGGAAGACGCTGTTACCTATCTTATATGAAATAATAATTAATGTCTTAGCTTTCTATTTTATTGTAAAATTATCTATCTGAAAGTATATGTACGCCGGAAGCAGCAGAATATTCAGGTATAACAGTAATGTACCATATTCTAATAAATAAAGCATCTTATCTTATCTTACCTTACCTGCTGGTTTGGTCCCCTCTATCGCTTCTTACGACTCCTAAGATGGGATAGTGAATATTCTTGAACCGCCAGCACACGGTCAATTCAAATTTATGATTAATTCATACTTTTTTAATTTATTTGCGCAATTCGGACCTTTTATGATATATACTGGATGAACTTTTTAACCGGCACTGATATTTTACAAAAAATATAAACAAAAATTTTGAAATAAATTAATTAAAATCTATCGATATTAAAATCATATCCACCCTACTTTACGAACGGCAATAGAACAATAAATTTAGTAGGCATCTTTGACCTTGTCACTTCGCAGGGTCACAAGCTAGGGTGGATATGATTTGAATTTCGATAGGTTTTAATTTATTTTTTTATTAAATTCAAACATTTCCTTTTTGTCTTTTGTATAATATCAGTACAATAGACTTCTATTCCGTTAACATGTTACACCCTATTTTTTTTTCTAGACGGTAAAAAAGGTCATCCCCAGTATATGAAACTATATACGATACTTAAAACAATTTTTTTTATTTTTGTCTGTACTGCCTGTTGTTCTGTGTTTGCGGAAATTAGACGTAACGGACGGATCGATTTCGACGGGACTTTTACCGGCAGATAACTGATATTATGTGGAGTATCTTCGACTACTTTTACTTTGGGAGAAATTAGGGTTCCGCGCAAAAAATCCAATCGTAATAAATCTGATTCAAAAAAGGAAGTAAAATTCTGTGACTTGGTGCTAAAAGGGCCAAAATACGTTTTTATTAAACAGTACAGTATTGTACAGTAGCACCTATTTTATTTTATTAGACAGTATGGAAGTACACATTACAATGGCCTTTTTTACATAGTATCTTTTGAAAGACCATCAATAAACGTACGCCCTTTTAGCACAAACAAGTTTCATATTTTTCAATAATATGGTTTTAAAATCTCATTTCTTAAAAAACGTACTTTGGCCCTTTTGGCACTAGGTCACAGAATTATAAATTACTAGAAATTATTCTATGCGAAGTCGCGGACACGGCTAGTCGTCAATACATTTAATAATACAATTTATACAAGTTACAACTATACATGGTAGCGCCATGTACATTAACAACAATACGTGGTAGAGTCATACTGCAGTTATTTTAGTAGTATAGCTGTAGCACGAATGGGTCGGCTCGACCGGGGAAGGACCACGCTCTCACAGAATACCAGCGTAAAATAGCAGCTTAATACTGCTGTGTTTCGTATGGTGAGTGTAGAGAACCGGAGACCCGTTTTACTGGAAACGAGGCATTTCATCTTAATACTCACGGGCGACAACGCATCTGCATTTTGATTTGTAATCGAGGATAAATGTAGATGTCTATGGGCCACAGCAACCACTTACCATCAGGTGAACTGTGTGCTCGTTTGTCACCCTTAATCTATAAAAAAAAGTAATACATTATTTTCATTTTTACGCAGTATTTACACATTTTAGCCAACAGAATGAATTGTGAAGTATTGTGTAAGTATTAACAGTATTGTAAAGAAATTCAAAACAATCATACCCTAGCACCTTCCACGCTGTGGTTGATGGTAATTACAATGCCGGCGAGCACTTTCCGCTTGGAGTGCACCAGGTCACCGCGCATCAGCTCGTTAAATTTATCGTTTACTAATCTGAAATAATATTTTCAAAATTAGGAAAGTTGTTATAAGCGCAGGTAGACATTAAGATCGGTCCGTCGTACAAGGGATTAAGAGTCAGGGTACAAAACGATCTGGACTAGGTTTGGTTTTCACAATTTTTCCCCTTAACCCTTAAACTGGACTAGAAAAGTTTTTAAAACATCGAACTCTGTGCCAATTTTAAGTTAATTTGTCCTCGATTCCTTTTAGGATTTTGTCATGATAATGTACCCAACCTAGTTAGTTTGAGATATACGTAATAGAGGCGCGCTGCAGTTATATTATGGTTGCAGCACGAATGGGCCGGCTCGACCGGAAACCATACTGCTTTCCTTTTTACTAAAAACGATGTTTTCCATAGTCTTTATGGATGACAACGCATCTGCATTTTGATTCTTAATCGAGGATAATGTTTATGGGCTGTATTCACTTACCATCAGGTGAACTGCGTACTCGTTTTTCAAACCCATTATTGTATAAAGTTTGAGACAAGCCATGTGTGTAGCGTGATTAGTGTTGTGATGGTTGTGATTTAATTTGAGTGGAGAGCAGAGGAAAATATGAGACCACAGATGAGGTTTATTTGCTTATTAAGGTTATATCACAGTGTAGCCATTATAATGATTATAACAGTGTTGCCAAAAAGATATTACAAAAGTGTGAAATAAACATTTTGATATTACTGTGTATATTAACATTATACGAAGGGTGATCTAAAAGTAATGATAATCGGTTACTTCAGGTCCGCATAAAAATCCAAAAAAAATTTTTTTGCTTGCTTATATACTCACTACGCCAGCCTAAAAAAATCATATAAATAGATCACGATTTCCGGGAGATTTCCGATTTCCGATTTCCGGGACATTTATTTGAATACGAACTGTCAAAGAGATAACATCAACATGGAGAAAAACGAAATTAGAGCTGTCATCAAGTACCTCTGTTTGAAAAAAATGTCTTCAAAAGACATACACAGTGACTTAGTGGAAACATTGGGGGATTCTGCTCCTCCATATTCTACAGTTGCACGCTGGGCCAAGGAGTTTAAACTGGGCAGAACATCCACTGAAGATGAACATCGCGAAGGACGCCCATCCACGTCCCTCATTGAAGACAACGTGAAAAAAGTCGAAGATGTTGTGTTGGCAGATCGAAGAGTGACCATCAGGCATGTAGCTGAGGTCACAGGGATCTCATATGGCAGCGTTCAAAGAATCCTTGCGAACGAGTTGCATATGAAAAAGGTCTCTGCGCGTTGGGTACCCAGAATGTTAACCGACGAGCAAAAGAAAAATCGAGTTGACATTTCGAGGGTCAATCTCGAAAAGTTCCAAGCAGATCAAGAAAATTTTTTGTTCCGTTTTGTGACTATAGACGAGACCTGGATCCACCATTTTGATCCTGAAACGAAACAACAATCGACGACTTGGAAGCGAGCCTCCTCACCGACGCCAAAGAAATTCAAAGTTTCAAGTTCGGCGGGAAAGGTTATGGCATCTGTTTTTTGGGACGCTCAAGGCATAATTATGGTGGAATATTTGGAAAAGGGAGCCACTATTACGGGCTCTTACTACGCAGACCAAATAAGAAGATTACGGGACGCCATTGGACGCGGCAAACTGCGAGCTGGAGTGCTGTTTCACCAAGACAACGCACCGGCTCACAAAGCCGCAGTTGCGATGGCTGCCATTCAAGAAACGGGATTCGAACTGCTCGAACACCCTCCCTATTCGCCAGATTTAGCTCCTAGTGACTTCTACCTCTTTCCTCGGCTCAAGGAACGCCTCCGAGGCAAGAAATTCGAAGACGATAGCGAAGTAATGGCCGCTGTGGAAGCGTTTTGGGAGGGTCAAGACAAAGAATTTTTTTCAAAGGGAATCCTGGGTTTAGAAAAAAGATGGACTAAATGTATTGATTTGTTAGGAGACTATGTAGAAAAATAAATTATTATTTTAACTTTAATTACCGTGTTTTATTTTCATTATCATTACTTTTGGATCACCCCTCGTACATGAGTATAATAATATTAATATCTTCCAGACTGAATGTCAGTCACGGCGGCCAGCCTCATCGGAGGCTAGCCATCGGCGCAGGACAGGATTATAGTGCCCAAGTGTATGCGCAAGCACAGATGCACTCTCTATTCCCTCACTCACTAATCCAATGGAACGGTAAACCGACCCGACCGGAGAGAGATCAGGCGCATCAGGACTAACGGCTTTACGTGCTTTCCGAGGCACGGGGGTGAGACACCGCCAACTTCCTAACTCCGGGCAACTACTGAGAATTTCTTGACGGAAAAACTCAATAATTGATTTTTTGGCCCGACCCGGGATTCGAGCCCAGGACCTCATGATCAGCGGTCGCACTACTACAACCACTAGACCAACGAGGCAGTCATATATATTATATATTATATAGTATAAATGAGTAAAAGAAATGTGTACAATAAATTCTAATATTCAACAATTAGTCCAGACCTGGCCACGTGGTCAGCCAGCAGCTGCGACAGTGGCGGCGCGCAGGGCGAGCTGGGCAGGCTGTGGGCGCGCGGCGGTGCGGCGCGTAGCTCGCCCAGCGCTGCGCGCGCCGCCGCCAGCTTTGCCAACTTCTTGCTCGCCCCTACAGTTGCATCCATTTAACATGTTAAACCGGAGTTATTCGTGTGCCACGCTAGCGCGACGCGTCTTGTGTCTGCGATGAGCCGGAAATATAACAATACGAGAGGAACAGAAGGTGCCACGTTGGCACCTCCGGCGTGCGCATAGTATACTAAAATACATACGTAATAGAACGGAGGAGTGGGCGGAGCCCGTGTAGCCAATAAAATGTCACTAACACGTCAATTTACACGTATAAATGTCAACACGAGATGTGTTTTGACGTTACAATCGTTTCCAAATTACGCATGCAAATTATTTAGAAAATGCCAAATTACACGCTATTTACAAATAAATATGTATTAAAATCCGTCTGTCAACACAGCGAATCGGGTTTGTAGTAGTGATTAACTGATAATACGACGTAATTGCTTGTATGTGTACTCCCGGCGACGCCGATCCTCGTACAAAATAAGGTTGACAGCCATTCTATTGTCTATTATAATATTCTATGATAGATATTAATCAAATCGTATTGATTTTTCCGCGATGCAAAACATAAATACGTAGACGTTTATTAGCGAAATCATGTCTTCGTCTGCAGTACGGTGTAGTAAGCATGAAAATTATATACATAATATTATATTTCTCGAAACTTTTGTGGGTATTAACGTATTTCATCATACAGTGTACGATATTTACCAAACTGATGTCTGTTTTAGTTTACATCATGTACTCCTATTTAAATTTGTATAATATCTTGTGCCCCTACCAGAAATGAGAGAAGGCTTGTGCCCAGCAGTGGGACGTATATAGGCTGTAACTTTACTTTACTTTTAATATCTTGTGCAAAAAAATTACTCTCTTCTAATCATTTTTAGCTCGCGTGAAAATAGCAGGAAAAACCCATATGTCAATGCAGCCGCCTCAACGTGGTATACAACAGCGGCAAGGCCCAGCGCCTTTAAACCTCCCGCCTCCGCATGTCACCTCCGTTCCCCGCAGTCGCTCTAGCGTGGCCAACGTCTTACGGAAGACGACGGGAGCCACCGCCCGTCACCCCCGCACGCCTCACACCGCAACGCGACACATCCCCCACATCCCGCTTCCCGCTTAGACAAAGAGCCAGAAGAGAGCTGAGCCAATCACCGCACGACCCGCCCCCGCAAGCCCGTGTGAGAACTCGCCGCCTACGCGACCCCGGCCGCGGGATTAAACATCGAGCGCCTGGTCGCCGGGATTCATTCTTAGGCAAATGGTTCTGTCTATGGAGAACCGAAGTGAACCCCGAAAAATGTGTAGCAATATACTTTCAAGGGTAAGCGCAGACCGAACTGCAAAAAGCTCGTGCATGCTCGAGCAAAATTTTGACTACTCGACCATGCAGGCGGCATCCGCGCGCCTCCGCGAGCAAGATCCATTGAATGTGCTCTGGGTTGCTACGGGGGCGTGCATGACCAATTTCATGCCAAAATCCGACGTTGATAGACGTCTTCAATATGATCGATTGGAATTTGGTGATTATCGCCCTTTTGGCAGAGGAAGAGGAACATGAAGAACATATTAATGAAAGCAGACGTCAGAAAATTAGAAGAACAGTACTATCGGTAGAAGAAACGTGGCGGGAAAGATGTACCTCAGGCGAATCTTACACATTGTGTAATAATGAGGTCAGTAAAAAGAAACTCTTAATTATTTGTTAATATCAATAATTATTTATTAACAGTATGTAATAGTTACAATTTTTTTATTTAATATTTTTTTATTATAATGAAGAAAACAGTTTTTTCGCTGCGGCAATACTGAGCGCGGACGGCGGCGGTGCGAGCGTGCTCGCGCATGCTCGAACATGCATCGTGCAAGCTCGAGCATGGTCGAGCATCACGTTTGGACGTGTATATAATTTTGCACTGTCTGTCAATAGTCATAAAATTAATATTTTAGTGTTCTCAGAAAATGCTCTGCTCTGATCTTAGTGTGCGCTGACCCCAACGGAGTACAACACACGTACACGTACACACACAAGTCTTGTGAAGCAAAAACAATTCTAAATATAATTTCCTTAAACGGCCGCTCTATCCCATAGGAAGAATCGGCTAAATATTTGAGTCACGTACAGTGTATGCAAAAATGCCAAATCAGTTGTTGGCCGTATCCACCCCAGTTGCCACGCTTGGCAAGCGAGTTGGCAGTCGCAGCTATTTAATTATTTTAAACTATGATTAGGAAGATATTATCGTATTCGATGTGGTATCTGATATGGGGTTGTTGATATTCTTTCTATATCCACTACCCCATATCATCCTGTTACATAACATTAATTTCATCAACAATTCACGTGTGAACCGCTAACTTCATCATGCATGCATTTGTTTCACGAAACTGAAACACTTTCGTTTTCTGCATGAGTTTTTGATGAAACCAATGTTACGCCAGTAATTTCATGATATGCGACGAGACACTAGGATCCCAAAAATGGCTAACAAGGCAAACTAAAGCTGGAAAGCCAATAGAAATTCACATTTTTTATTAATAAAAAGCTGTTCCCTGCAACATCAGCCATGTAAAATTTATTACGATTTTATACGTAAAATTTTTTTGTCGCGCGGAACCCTAATGCTATTTTTTTTTAAATAAAAGTAGCCTAAGTTACTCTTTATAAATCAGCTATCAGCCAGTGAATATCCTGTCAAATGAGGATTGTGGAACAACCAGACACAGAAACAATTTTAATAATTTTGTTTTTTTTTTTGCTACAATAATGTATATTGATGATAAATAATATAATATATGAAACAATTTTTTTTTGTTTCATATATTATACGGTATGGAGAGGGCTACGCTCGGGGTTTCTCTGCGCGATAAACTTACAAATGAGGATATCCGCAGTAGAACCAGAGTGACCGACATAGCCCAACGGACTATTAGTAAGCTGAAGTGGCAATGGGCCGGCGATATAGCAAGAAGAATCGAAACCCGATGGGGAAAAATGGTTCTCGAGTGGCAGCCTCGTACCGGTAGGCGTAGTGTAGGGCGACCCCCCACTAGATGGAGTGACGACCTGGTACGACATGCAGGAAGTCGATGGATGCAGGTGGCTCAGGACCGTGCTTGGTGGCGTACCTTGGGGGAAGTCTACGTTCAGCAGTGGACTTGTGAAGGGCTGTAACGATGATGATGATGGTCTTATCGATACTGTAGGTTTCAAGACAATAATATTTTTAGCTCCCGACGAAAAAGATGGGTGACATAATGTTTAACGTGTAGATCTTTCTGTGGCATCGTAGCTCCCAAACGGATAAATTTAGGTATTTTTTTCTGTTTGAAGGGTGACTTGATCGAGAGTGTTGTTAGCTATGATTCACGAAAATCTTTTCAGGCGTTTGAAGATCATCAGGATTTTTTGTTTAGAGGGTTTTTAAAATGCTCAATTCAATATTATAATGAAACTAGTTTCACAGCTAGTGATACTAGTTGCGTAAAATTAGCACTACCGTGCACGCCACTAATTTCGTAACGTAAATCCTACCTGCATCAGTGACATCTAGTGGTGATCAGTGAAAAAAACGCGTTAATAAAATAAACAAGAAAATGGGTGCGTTCGGCAGAAAAAAGCGCTAGCAAGCGCTTGTAAGCAAAATGGCGATCGTAAGCGGTAAGCGCTGTCAAATCGTAAGTAGCTATTTTCCTCCAGGACACGATGTTAGTTTTAACCTCGGAACCTAACCTAATTTAAATATATGTTTGTAAAGTATTCATATTAAAAACTTACCAATCATGAATTTTTAATAACATGTATATGTCTATTCATGTCATTATATTACTTAAAACTAATATTGCACAAAACAACTTATAATTTCTACTTCGAAACAAACAAATTAAATAAGCAAAATGGCGGATTGTGTAAGCGCTACTGAAGTAGCAATCGTGTCCTGTCCGAAAACTATTTTAGCGCTTGTAAGCGCTTGCTAGCGCTTTTTTCTGCCAAACGCACCCAATGTACTCACCGTAACCTTCAAACTTCTGATCCTTGATCTGACAAACCACTTTAAATCTCATACTGTGACTCAGCTGAAGTGGTGCTGTTGACAAACGTGCATATATTTTATTTAATGAAATTATTTGACGAAATATATTAATGATGTACTGGAATGCATTACATTACAATTTATATTCAGATTACAATTTCACCATCGCACATCGCGACAAAATTCGCGATACCATCCATACCATCTGAATGACTGGCGGTACACCACCGTGCGTTTTAAAAGAAGTTTTCTTCCTCGCACAACTTCCTTGTGGAATCGACTACCACCAGAGATTTTTCCGGACCGATACGACTTAGGGACCTTCAAGAAAAGAGCCTTTTAAAAGGCCGGCAACGCATCTGCATAACCCCTGGTGTTGCAGTTGTTCATGGGCGGTAGTCACTTACCATCAGGTGAGCCGTAAGATCGTTTGCCCCTCGTCTATTAAAAAAAAAGTTACTGAAATTTTTTGTAGGAGATTTCACAAGATGCTTTGGGTATATGCTATGACCTAGCCAAAGCCTTCGACTGTGTTCACCGTGAGACATTAATTTGGAAACCACAACATTACATGGTGAAATAAGTCATGCTCTTAAATTTGATATTTCATATTTAAGTAACAGAACGCATAGTTTTTTATAAACGGTATGAGTTCTTCCAAGTTACACGAGTTATATGTGTTGGAGTCACGTTGCAGCTATATTATGGTTGTAGCACGAATGGGCCGACCGGGGTCAGACCACGCTCTCACAGAATACCAACGTAAAATAGTAGTTTAATGCTGCTGTGTTTCGTGTGGTGAGTGTAGAGATTCGAAGACTTTTTTTACTGGAAAAGAGGCATTCCATCTTAGTCCTCAGGGGTGACAACGCATTTGCGTTTTGATTTTTAGTCGAGGATAAATGTAGATGTCTGTGGGCCGCAGCATCCACTCACCATCAGGTGGACTGTGTGGTCGTTTGTCACCCTTATTCTATAAGAAAACACCCACATTAATAATCTCCTCCAGATCGACTTTCGGTCACGGCGGCCTGCCTCAACGGAGGCTAGCCATCGGCGCAGGACAGGATTATAGTGCCCAAGTGTATGCGCAAGCACAGGAGCACTCTCTATTGCCTCACTCTCATAATCCGATGGGACGGTAAACCGAACACGACCGGAGAGAAGATCAGGCCCAGACCAACGGATTTACGTGCTTTCCGAGGCACGGGGGTGAGACACCGCCAACTTCTTGACTCCGGGCAGCTACTGAGAATTTCTCGACGGAAAAACTTAATAATTGATTTTTTGGCCCGATCCGGGATTCAAAACCATGACCTCATGATCAGCAGTCAAAACTTACATTATATAAGTTACAAAAATTGTCTTTCATCTTACCCTGCATGGAGTCCAAGGGCGAGCCGTCCCCGTAGGTGCAGATGAACGTGAGCCCGGGATAGTTCTCGTAGAGAGTGTTGATGGGGCTCTTGTGAGCTGGCACCGGCACTGGGGCACCGAAGAGCGCCGCGCCCGCCGATACGTTCGCAACTGAAATGGTGGTGCCATTTACTTGATGGTACCTCATCATCATCATCATTATAACAGCCCCTGACAAATCCACTGCTGAACCTAGGCCTCCTCTAAGGAACACCTACTATGTAGTGGTACCTCATATTAGCAGAATTTTATACACACCGATATCATGTGTGATCTCAACGCATTTCCAAAGACCTCTATGTATAATCTAGACGAGCTTTCCAGGCTTAATAATGTACGATCGGGGGGTTCAGGGCACCAGAAATAACAACACTGAGCTTGTATTGAACCCGTTTTATTGGATGAAAAATTTAAACCTTTCCAAGATACTACTCTACATCGTAATATACAAAAACAGTAATACAGTGCAACCTTAATATAACGTACCACAATATAACGACATCCTCGATTTAACAAATTCTTCGTAATCCCCTTGAATTGTCCATAAGAGTCAATGTAAAATATACCTTTACATTGCGAACATTTTTTGCGAACAACCACTTTATAATGAATTTTCAACTATCAAGAAAAAGTGTACCTAAATACCTCTAATTAACGAATTTTGTCAACCCAAGACCTTTATATACAGTTCCCACCAATGTGACCCTTAATCCGTTTTACTGCATTTAATTTTGATTATTAATATATAAATGTAAGAAAAAATTTTTGTTACCTACCATATTGTTTTTAAAAAGAAAATACATAAAGATTAAAACATGTAATCATTTATTAGTAGAAGTTGTGAATAAAACGATTTTTTTACCTTTTTATAACAAATTTTAAACCAACTTAACCTCAACATAACAAACATAAGTTCAACGAATTACTTTATATAACGAATATTTACTTGTTCCCCTCCGATTTGTTATATCGATATATATATTGTTATATCGATCAATATCACTGTATATTTTATTAGCGCCATCTATCGATAACTGCGCGAATAAATACATTGCGCACCAAGTTACGTGTCAATCCTTTGAAACTCCTTTAAACGTCAGCGAGCGGACACTATTTTAAACTCATCATTGATGTATGATGATTAATGAGTCTCATGACTCCAACAAAATATTTACATATCGTATTTGACAAATTTACTGTAACCTTAAATTAAATTCATAAGCTTATAATAGTTGTCTTTCCATCCGATTACAATGTGGGTGTTTTGTAGACAAGAGTGAATAGGATTTCGTTAAGTCAGTTCCCTTCACCATCTCCGGATGCATCACCACTTACGGTCCGGTGAGGTAGTAAGTAATCAAGTTTGGCTTAGGATAGTAAAACAATTTTAAATAAATTCGAAGAAACTGAACTCACAGACTTCATACTATTTTTATATTTCATTTTTTAAATATTTTCATTGATCTAAATCTAAACAATAGAACTAGCTTAAGATTACAGCCAGTATGTCGTCAAAATTCCCAACCATAAGGAGTGGAATTCTTTCTTGAAATTAAAATTTATTCACCTTGAAGTATATCCCATTAAATATAAGGCAAATAAAATCGGTTCGGTTCGTTCCCGTGAAATTGGTGAATACAGGAACCTTTCTTTTTTTGAAGTCAGTTAATAAATATTATTCGGCTGGAATTTAACCCAAACTATATGACGCTTTTTTAACTGACGTACGCATCGGTGAACCAGGGTCTTTGACAATCTCTTACTCCCCGGACAATGCAGGACAATGCATAATAAACCCACATACGATTTGCAAATAAAAATGTATTATTATTTATGTGGTAGAGCCGTGCTGCTATATTATGGTTGGTAGCACGAATACTATAATATATTATAGCAGCTCGACCGGGAAAAGACAACGCTCTTACAGAATATCAGCGTAAAATAGAAGCGCAATGCTGGTGTGTTTCGTATGGTGAGTGTAGAGAACCGGACCTATTTTACTGGAAACAAGGCTTCTATCTCAGTCCTCAGGGGTCGCAACGAATCTGCATTTTGATTCTTAATCGAGGATAGATGTAGATGTCTATAGGCCGCAGCATCCACTTCCCATCAGATGTACTGTGCGCTCGCTTGTCACCCATATTTAAAAAAAAACTGTTAGATTTTTATAATTATTTCTTATATTTACGCGAACACTATACATGATTAAAACTACTTTTACGGATTTTATCGCGTTTATTTTTACTTTTTATTTACTTTTATTTTTAATTCCCGACGTTTCGGGCGCTTTCCAGCACCCATGGTTACGGGGGACTTCAAATTCAATTTCAATAGAGAAGGAGGCTGGGTACTACCACCTGCTTGGGATCCTGTAATCAATAAAATTAAAACTAAACCCAAGCATACCACTGCAAGACCTCAGGACATAGTTCATTTTGCATAGATCGGACCATAAACAATAATTAAAAAAGCTGAAGGTACTCAGGGTTTAACAATGACATCGGGACGTCAGTCATCTCAGTCCCCCGTGACCATGGGTGCTGGAAAGCGCCCGAAACGTCGGGTATTAAAAATAAAAGTAAATAAAAAGTAAAAATAAACGCGATAAAATCCGTAAAAGTAGTTTTAATCATATTAGATTTTTGTTATGGTCGCGTTTTTTGAAGCAAAGTTATTTCTATATATTTGAATACTGAATCTGACAACGTACATAACGAGTTTTTGTTACATGTTGTATATACACACAAAGTTTTCGTGTCATTGTGGAGTTTCACAACCAACCAGCGAACAACATATTAATTGACCAATAAGCGATTCACAATATAGTTAAGGACTGACCTGGAGGTTCCACCGCGGGCTTGGGCAACGCATTCTGCTGCTTTGTCTTCATTTCCAGACACTGGAACTCCGACGCTGTTGAGAAATATTTTTATCAGTATTTGCATTGCATCACATCAATACTACCGGGAACACGCTCTTACATTATAACAGCTTAAAATAGCAGCATAATTAAATGGTTAAACGAACTTACCTTAAGTGAAGTTCAACCATAATTATACGAAGCTCCTTGTCCTAGACATTCTTAACAATTGTAGTACGCCGCATTCCATGCCAGCATCACAATTTATCCAAGCTCGCTAAAAAAAATTTTTAAAGCAGTATATCTGGCAACACTGTATCAACCCTTCCGTCAATGCAACTCCATTATGTTTAAAGCAAGGAATTAGATGAGCAACCCTAACCCAGGGAGGGTTGGGCCGGGAGTACCGTCTAGGACAAGGAGCTTCGTATAATTATGGTTGAACTTCACTTAAGGTAAGTTCGTTTAACCATTTAATTATACTCCCTCCTTGTCCTAGACATTCTTAACAATTGTAGATGTTTGAAGACAGGGTTGCGAATTTATAATACCAATGAATGGAAATTTGCAATTTTCCTTATTTTATAAAAAATGTTGAACATATTGCCTGTATAGTAAATTTAAATTAATAACATAAATAAATTATCGTTATTTCGTGACCTTTCCTTATACACATAAGGCCAGCTTGATTGCAGCAGAAGTGGCCCTGTGGAAGAATTATGACTGAAAAAGAAAACAATCTGGAATATCTATTCCAGTTTAATTTTAACATCTTATAACTTACTTAAGAAACACTATTCTAAGTGGGTTAAATTTATCACTATCTTGTATTCTGTTTTCTATTAAAATATTCACAAGAAAGGCTCAACCCCTTCTCATTTATTTTTTCCCATGCAAACCCTGTTGAAGTGAAATTCTATCTATATCTTAACTATACATCTGAGCTCCCGTTTAAATAAATGTAATATTTGTTGAAGGACCATGTATGTATATTATAACCTATAACTCATCACTGCTCAGCTTGTTACTAGTTTTTGTAAATTTCTGTATTCTCAATATTTATTGCAATATTCTGTAGTTAATAATCTAAAAGTAACTTATTATTAAGTCTATTTTTATAACTCAAACCTAAGTAAAAGGCACAAAGGCCCAGGAAGGAATTTCATTACACTTACTACAATTTGGGTACGATGAGGAATTAATTATTTTATAATTTATAGTATTTGACATAGGAGAGTTCACTATAATTCTTAGTACGAATTTTAGAGTGAATCTTGGAGTGCCATATTTTACAAAATACTTCACTAATAGTAACCAATGATGTGTATGAGATGTCTATGAGATGACTGTAATATGACACAGTAGTATGATTATCTTTATATAGGCAGTGTTAATAATAATTTGTTGTTTTACTCAAAATAAACAATTAATTTTTCCACATTTACTGCTCATGTGAAAAAAAACTACTTTATAGTTTATAGTGACAGCGCTTTAATGTTAATTCAAAAACTGTCTAACCTCAAAGTGTTAGCTCTAAAAGGTCTGAATAGTCAACCGTGTCTATCCTCTATGTGATAGCTGTAAAGGTTTAAAGCCTGCAGTGATTTCTTCCGAGTCATAGTCCATCTTAATGTCTTCCTTTAAGTTGTAATGCTTTCAATTCAAACCTGTCTAACCTCAAAGTGTTAGCTCTAAAATTTGAATAGTCAACTGTGTCTATCCTCTATGTGATAGCTCTAACAGTTTAAAGCCTGCAGTGATTTCTTCCGAGCCGTAATCCATCTTAATGTCTTCCTTCAAGTGATATTGCTTTCAATTCAAACCTGTCTAACCTCAAAGTGTTAGCTCTAAGATTTGAATAGTCAACTGTGTCTATCCTCTATGTGATAGTTCTAACAGTTTAAAGCCTGCAGTGATTTCTTCCGAGCCGTAATCCATCTTAATGTCTTCCTTCAAGTGATATTGCTTTCAATTCAAACCTGTCTAACCTCAAAGTGTTAGCTCTAAGATTTGAATAGTCAACTGTGTCTATCCTCTATGTGATACTTCTAACAGTTTAAAGCCTGCAGTGATTTCTTCCGAGCCGTAGTCCCTCTTAATGTCTTCCTTCAAGTGATATTGCTTTCAATTCAAACCTGTCTAACCTCAAAGTGTTAGCTCTAAGATTTGAATAGTCAACTGTGTCTATCCTCTATGTGATAGCTCTAACAGTTTAAAGCCTGCAGTGATTTCTTCCGAGCCGTAATCCATCTTAATGTCTTCCTTCAAGTGGTATTGCTTTCAATTCAAACCTGTCTAACCTCAAAGTGTTAGCTCTAAGGTTTGAATAGTCAACCGTGTCTATCCTCTATGTGATAGCTCTAACGGTTTAAAGCCTGCAGTGATGTCTTCTGAGTCCTAGCCCATCTTAATATCTTTCCACTGATGATAGCATCTTATATGTGATTTAAGACCTGTCTACCTTCTAAGTCATAGCGGTAAGGTCTGAATAGTCAACCATGTCTATCCTCATAAATGACAGCTCTAATGCATAGCATTTTAAATAACTTATGGTAGATATTCTCTCAACAATTTTAAGTTTACAGTAATTACTTCTGGCTCTCTGCACCGCTTAATATCTGCCAGTAGTATTTTTCGTTCTTATTTTATTATATATACATAAATCCATGTATATATTCTAAGTGACAGTTCTAACAGTCTGTATATAGCATCTACATAACTCCTGTTAGATATTTTTTCCAGCAGTTTTAATTCAATAGTGCTTTTGCATCCCTATCTCCTCAGTATTATACTTTTCCTATTTCTTCAATACTGTCCGAAACTACGTGCTTGTCAAAAGTGGGAATAGTCTTGCCCAACTTTCAAATCATTGGTATGTTGGTATATTTTGCTACCTTGATGTCCGGTGATCATGTGGGGGTTCTCTTACGTTGACAAATTTTGAACTTCTTTTGTCAAACCCTTGTGAGACTTTCTAGTACTTTTACATCTATAATTTGTAACAAGTTTTTCATTATGTTATACTCATAATATTGAGCCCTTGTAATAAAACTATACCAATAATTATCTTTATTTGATTGCTTCTAAATCTCAGTACCGCAAAATGTTTTCTCATGTGAAAAAAAAACAAAAACCTATGGTTTTTTGACTCATCGACATTAAGAGGAAATACATAAAAGAAGAATCGTCCCCCAATCTAATATAACTGCCATGGTTTCTGGGTCATGCCTACAGAACCCCATTGTTAAGTATATAATAATTTTATTATTTTTCGTTACTAATTTGATCAAGTTTTGGCTTTAACATTGCTTTATGATCTTGTTGAATAGACTTGAAAGACTTCCTCTGACTGTTTTTTTTTTTTTTGTTTACTTGGCTCAATTTTGGATTGTGTGTTAAATTTCCATATTTTTATTTAATTTAAAGTATTGAATCCTCAATAGTTAATGAGTAGAACCCTCTCTATCTTGTTAATATATGAAGCAGGATTTTTATCAACTCTGGGTAAAATTGTACAACATAAGTATTATTTAGTTGTAGTAAGTTTACTATTCATTATAACTATATTGTTTTGCTCAAAGTTTTGTATTGTATTCTACCATTTCCAAAAATATAAGCATATACTACTTTAATATCGAATAATATCTATGTAATTTATTCGCAACGAAGGACTAAACCCAAATTTTGTCTCATTCCATTGGTTTCTCTCAATCCAGTTGAGAAGTGTCAATTTATATTTCAAACGGTTTTATGCGTTTAATGTTTAATTTTCCACTGAATATATATTACATAACATTATATATACATTAATATATATAATAAGGTTTAAAGCACAACATTATTAACCTCATTTTACTAATAGCAACCAAAATGGGTTATGCACAATATATTTAGTCACTATTTATATCATAAAATCTTTATAGTTCTTAAGTATTTTTACATAATTTCCTCTTACTACAACAATTTATTTTGTTGCTAACATATTTTGGCAGTCAGTGTATTCATCTGTCAGCATAACTCTATTATGCTTTTACCATACCTAGTTTTAGTTATGAAGGTGATAATAATAACATGATAGGTATGAATGATACCATACTTAATTTTACTGAATAAATCCATCTTTATTTTATTTTTTAATTATTACTTCACATATTACTTATTTTTAACTTGTCATAACTTTTTAATATATTACAATAGATTATTTCCTATAATTATTTTTAAATTTCTTTTTAATTGTTTAATTTACCACTGTTTTAATTATTGAAGTATGTAAGTTTTATATTTTCCCAGATTGATATTTTATGTACCGCTGTAGGACATTAATGCATTTGCAACTCATCATTCTATTTAAAACCTAATGATGCTAAACACTTCTTTCTTCCTTGTAACTTAGGTTATATTAAATTACATAATACAGCTCGAATGCAATAATGTGCCTATGTTTAATGTCAATTAATTAATTATGGTCTAGATTTTTATTTTTATTTAATTGCCTATCAGCAGAAATTTCTCTATATTATTTTCTCGTCTTATTATATTAATTGTTATATAATAATTATTATATTATATTTGTTTTACTATCTCAATAATAATAATTTACCTTCTTGACTGAGTTTTTTAATTATATTTTGTTAATTTTTTAAAATTGACAATAATCTAAGCCATGAACCATTTTACAGGCTATCTGTTGTCTTTTTATTATTCTTTTAATAATTTAACAAATTTATTGTAATTCAATCTGATGCTTACAATACTATTTTTGTTTTGCATATCTGTCAAATCTGGTTTCATTGACAAAGTGTGGAGCCAAATATATCACAAGGGATATAATTTGAATAATATATTTGTTTCAATCTTTCAGATTTTTCTAAACAGCCTAAATGCTATTTTTTACTCACTTTTTGCTTACTTATATTTTAAGTGTATTTAACTTGTAACCTTTTGATATTCCATATCAAGGTAAAACAGTTCTTATATCACATTTTTTCTTACTTTCATGTCATATTATCCATCCATCCATTGCAGTCTATAAAAATCCACAGCTGCACATAGGCCTACCAATACCAAAATGACTGATAGAGGAGTGTCATATTATGTAGTTTTTATTTTTTATTTTATGTGTCTACAAAATAATATGTAATAATATACTGTCTAGATTTAAAAATGCATCTATTAAATCCCATTTGTTTGGTTTTAAGGACTAGTAAACTGACTCTCCCTTACACACTGGATAATTTTGTCCCAGAATTCAGTTATTATTTCTAACTTGTTCTGCCAATTTTTTTGTGGACGTTAAAGGTTTACATAACCTTAATAAAACCATGAGTTAAGTTTATTTATAGCGCTTATTTCTTTGCATAATCAGGATTTTCTGATACTAAAGAAAGTTTAGTTGTAATCTCAGGGTGTATAATTTCCGGGTCTGCTGCCCAACGTAAATAAATGAAATTAAGAAAAACATTAATATATGTCACTTAAAATTTCTCAACGTATCTCTGTACAATGTATCTCAACCCACATTTATAGGTTAAAATACCTATTTACTATTTCATATTATATGAGTGACGAGTTTGTTCGATAATTTATCATACTTGTTAATAAATGGGCACAGTGAATCTGATTTTATTATTTAATAAATGTTTTAACTTTATTTATTTTATATACACGTGCACCTACCTCGAACAACAGGATTTTTGTTTACCTTTGATCGGTTGGCTCCATTTTGAATATCTTCCTTTCCCAAGTACATAATCAAATTATTAACACGCAGATACGTAATAAATTTATTTGTAGTAGGTTTTGGATACAAAATATTTGATTTTACACTAAACATATTTAATTTTTACAACAAAAATTATAAAACACACCGTGATGGCTGGCACAAAAAACGTAATGAAGTTGCATTGACGGAAGGGTCGATACAGTGTTGCCAGATATACTGCTTTAAAAATTTTCTTTAGCGAGCTTGGATAAATTGTGATGCTGGCATGGAATGCGGCGTACTACAATTGTTAAGAATGTCTAGGACAAAGAGGGAGTATAATGCTGTTTAGTTTCGTATGGTGAGAGTTAAAAACCGGAATTTATACTGGTAACGAGGCATTTTATCGTTATTCTTCAGGGTGACAATACATCTGCATTTTAATACTTTATCGAATATAGATTAGGTGTCTATGGGTCACAGCCCAAAGCATTCACTTACCATCAAGGTGGACTGCGTACTCGATTGTCGCCCTTATTTTCATAAAACAATCCATAAAAATAAAGGATCTTAACCATAATAAATTTAAAGTTAAACTCAAAGCGAAGTCCTGGTGGGTCGGAGGCACCGACAGCAGACGGCCCGCGCGCGCCAGCAGCGCATATATAGGGTTGTGAGGATTGACCTTGTCCCTTGGGCGGCTCGTCGCTGTTGAAGTCCTGGTGGGTTGGCGGCGCCGGCAGCAGGCGGCCCGCGCGCGCCATCGGCGCATATATAGGGTTGTGAGGATTGACCTTGTCCCTTGGGCGGCTCGTCGCAGGTGAAGTCCTGGTGGGTCGGAGGCGCCGACAGCAGACGGCCCATGCGCTATCAGCGCATATGTAGGGTTGTGAGCACAGAACTTGTCCCTTGGGCGGCTCGTCGCTGGTGAAGTTCTGGTGGGTCGGAGGCGCCGGCAGCAGGCGGCCCGCGCGCGCCGGCAGCGCATATATAGGGTTGTGAGGACTGACCTTGTTCCTTGGGCGGCTCGACGGTGGTGAAGTCCTGGTGGGTCGGAGGCGCCGGCAGCCGGCGGCCCCGCGCGCCAGCAGCACACATATAGGGTTGTGAGGACTGACCTTATCCCTTGGGCGGCTCGTCGCTGGTGAAGTCCTGGTGGGTTGGCGGCGCCGGCAGCAGGCGGCCCGCGCGCGCCAGCATCGCATATATAGGGTTGTGAGGACTGACCTTGTCCCTTGGGCGGCTCGTCGCTGGTGAAGTCCTGGTGGGTCGGAGGCGCCGACAGCAGACGGCCCACGCGCGCCATCAGCGCATATGTAGGGTTGTGAGGACTGACCTTGTCCCTTGGGCGGCTCGTCGCTGGTAAAGTCCTGGTGGGTCGGAGGCGCCGGCAGCAGGCGGCCCGCGCGCGCCAGCAGCGCCGCCAGGCAAGCGCGCGCCGCCGCGGCACGAGCCTCCCGCTTGCTGTGGCCCCAGCCTTCGAACCGCATGTCCGCCACCTCCACACCAACAACAAGCAAACGGACATTCATTTCACCAACACACAACATTAACTAACATAGAAATTCGTACGAATTACAATTGGGTAATTATTATTTACGTGGTAGAGCCATGCTGCACCTGTAATAATGTCTTCCAGACCGAATTTCAATCACGGCGGCCTGTCTCAACGTAGACTAGCCTATCTGCACGGAACAGGATAATTGTGCACGAGTGTATGCACAAGCGGCTGTGGAGGGACACACGGGCAGAGGAAGGGAATAAAAGATGGATCGATTGTGTGAAGAGTGATAGAGAAGAAAGGAGTAGTAGGAAATATAGAGAGGATGGAAAGAATTCCGACCGATAATGGGAAATGGTTTGAGAATGATGGTAGCACAAGCACAGGTGCACTCTCTATTCCCTCACTCTCTTAGTCCGAATAGACAATAATCCGACACTACCGGATCAGACGCAGGACCAACGGTTTTACGTACTTTCTGAGGCACAGGGGTGAAGCACCGCCAACTTCCTGACTTTCGAGTTGCTACTGCGAATTTCATGACCGAAAAGATCGATTTTGACACGAGCCGGAATTCGAACCCGTAACCTCATGATCAACAATCACGTTTATTACCATTAGACCGACGAGGTAGCGAAGAGGCTACCGCTATATCATGATTTTAGCATCAATGTGTTGGCACGACCGGGAAAACTGACACAATTTGGCGGCAAATTGCCAATTTTCTGTGTCAAGTCAGCATGAATTTAACGCGAGAAAAATTATGTACAATGATTTTTTATACCTTTCGATGTCATTTAAGTCAACAAGAAAGTTATAGTATTTTGTTGGAAAATTCTGAAATTTCGTATATCCGACCGCAATCCTGACAAGAGCCCAAAAACCCTGACATATGGTATCCCTACTCCAGTGCCAATGGGTACTGCAAAGCGCCCGAACCCTAGGGAATTAGGAAATTTAAAGTTAAATGCGACAAAATCCATAAAATTAATTTTATTCAATGCTACTCACAGTGACGGCAACGGTGAAGCTGGGACAGTGTGCTGGTCCGCCCTGCTGTAGAACAGTGTAGGAGACGCGAACGCCCAGTTCGTTCAGCGCCGACACTGGCGATTTGCCCCCAGACTCCACAGTGTCGGCTGCATTCGCGAGGGCCTGCAGAGATGGGTTCCTTTGAGGTACATAGCTATAACGTATGAATTGATAGTTAAGCATATTTGAAAAGCTGGCTGTATGCTCCGAGTTCCTCTGCCTGATTTCCGTAATAAAGATACTACTCCAAACAAATAATCAATCCGGTTCACAGGTAATACATGTCGTACGTGATTTGCTAAACCATGTATTTTTTTTTTTTTATAGAAGAAGGGGCAAACGAGCATGCGGCTCACCTGATGTTAAGTGACTACCGCCGCCCATGATCAACCGCAACACCAGGAGAATTGCGGGTGCGTTGCCGGCCCTTTAGAAAGGAGTAAGCTCTTTTCTTGAAGGTCCCCAGGTCGTATCGGTCCGGAAAAATCGCCGGTGGTAAACTATTCCACAGAGAGGTTGTACGTGGAAGAAAACTCCTTGTGAAACGTACAGTGGTGGACCGCCAAGCATCCAGATGGTGTGGATGGTATCGGGACGTTTGCCGTGTAGTGCGTTCACGAAATTTGGCGGCTGGGATTAATCCGAACAATTCCTCAGAGCACTCCCCGTGATAGATGCGATAAAATACGCAAAGAGATGCAACATCTCTTCGCAGCGCCAGTGAATCGAGCCGATCGGAAAGCACTCGGTCGTCGACGATTCGAGCCGCTCTGCGCTGGATGCGGTCAAGTGGAAGGAGCTGGTACTGGGGAGCCCCAGCCCAGAGATGGGAACAGTATTCCATGTGCGGCCGAACCTGCGCCTTGTAAAGTTGCAGGCGGTGTGCCGGCATGAAATACTGTCCCGCTCTGCTGAGCACGCCAAGCTTTTTAGAGGCCAATTTGGCCTTCCCTTCCAAGTGACCACGAAACTGCACGTCACTCGATATGTCGACGCCGAGGATTCCGATACTGGCTGAGGCAACAAGGGGAGTGCCTTGAAACTGAGGGGATACGACAAAGGGGTTCTTTTCAGCGGTTAACGCGCAAACTTGTGTCTTCTTAGGGTTAAACTGGACTAGATTTAGTCGCCCCCAATCCGAGACTCTGTCCAGCAGACTCGACTTCAGACACAAGTTTGTCCCGGCACTCGGAGACGTTTTCCCGAGAAATATTGGCTCGGCCGGTGTAAAGAGCATCACCAGTGCTGTCATCTGCATAGCAATGAATGTTACGTGTATGCAACATGTCATTGATATGCAGAAGAAACAGCGCTGGCGATTGCACGCAGCCCTGTGGAACACCAGCATTAATAGGCTTGCAATCGGAGCTTGCACCGTCTACAACGACCTTGATGCTCCGATCTGCAAGAAAGCTGGTGATCCAATCGCACAATTTCTCGGGAAGCCCATAGGAAGGAAGCTTCGAAAGAAGCGCTTTGTGCCAAACCCGATCGAAGGCCTTCGCAATGTCCAAACTAACGGCCAATGCCTCCCCCTTGAACTCTACTGCCTCCGCCCATCTGTGAGTTAGGTAGACCAGAAGATCACCAGCTGACCGACCACGGCGAAAACCGTATTGGCGGTCACTAATCAGCTGATGATCTTCAAGGTACCTCATGAGCTGGCAGTTTACAATGGACTCCATTGTTTTGGAGAACAAGGAGGTGATGGCGATTGGCCGGTAGTTGGACGGGTCAGAGCGGTCGCCTTTTTTAGGGATCGGGTGGACGTAAGCCGTCTTCCATGATTTTGGGACTACGCCTAGGGAGTAGGAGTACCGGAAAAGACGCGTTAAAACCGGTGCCAACTCTGGAGCACACGTCCTCAGCACAATTGGGGGGATTCCGTCAGGCCCACTCGACTTGTGGATGTCCAGGGAGAGGAGTGCTTTGCGAACCGAGCGCTGTGTAAAGTGCACTTCCGGCATGGAGCACTCACACCGCGGGATGGTCGGCGGCGTACTCCCCCCGTCATCGAGAGTCGAGTTAGACACAAAGAAAGAGCCTAGAAGATTGGCTTTCTCCTTTGCGGTGTGGGCCAGTGAGTCGTCCTCCCTGTGCAGAGAAGGAAGAGATGGCTAACAGAAATTCCCCTGGACAGCCTGGGCGAGAGACCAGAATGCACGGGTTCCAGAAGGAAGGCAAACTAGTTTCTCGCCAATTTTGCCTATATGCTCTGACTTTGCCTTGGCAATGACTCTTATGAAGGACCTAGAGGCGGAATATATACTTCTTATATATTCTTATATATATATTCTATAATTAGTTAATGGAAAGTAAATAAATAATAAAGTAATTAAAGGATCATTTAGTTCATCTAACAAATATAATAAATGTACTAAAGGTAAAGCCATAAAAATTAATGTAATTTCAGGGATAATAGTTCAAATTAATTCAAGTTATAATTGTATATCAAATGCTATCAAAAACATAACTTGTAAACAAACCAAGTCTCGCAACTCAGTTCTTCTATTGTAAAAAATTGTGAGATCCATGTAATACCAAGTCGGTTAATTTATTCAGTGCCTACTTAAGGGTCCTTCTGTTTTAAGTTATTACGTAATTAGCTAACCTAACATACTCTTATAGTGACCAATCAATGTTAAAAATCTTTTGATGTTTTAAATAAATAGATTGACTTGGCAAACTCCATAATAGGAATTTCTCTGTTAGGAGTATCTCTGAAGCTGTTTACATACATAAATTTCACAAGGACAAATAAACAAACCCAGAAACTTATTGGTACCTTAGCGCTGCAAACCCAATACTAAGCCACTGCGCCACGAAGCCGTCATCAAATCGATCACGGACAATCGGTATCACGAGTGCAGCGTGGCGCTTGGAACGTGCTTAGAGGAACCAAGTTAATTTATACTTCTTGCAATTTACATGCACTGTCACAATGTGGATGTACATGTCGAACCACATCCATAAGTCGACCGCACTCGTGAATTGCAAAAACTATAGCCCTAGATTGGTGTTGATCCCAAAAGTAAAGTAAAGTTAGGAAAGTAACAGCCTATATACGTCCCACTGTTGGGCACAGGCCTCCCCACATTTCTGAGAGGGTTTTAGGGCAAGGAAGTGTCCGCCGCGATTCCCCAATGCGTGTTGGCAAACTTCACATGTCTTCGAAATATTTTTTAAGCTATTGCATAGCTTCTATCGCGGGCCTTGAGCGCGGGGACCGAATCCAGAAATTCCGTAACGAAAAAACCTCACGCTCCACACTCCGACGGGCACGGAAGTGTGGCGTTGAAAGCCGTGCATTGTCTAACGTCGTTTTAGTTCGGTAGACTTCGGCACTCGGCAGAGTTCGGCACTGTGTTTGTGTGCGTGCGACTAGACGTATGCGTGTACACTAGCTGCAAACTGAATGATAAAAATTCCTGAATAACCTACATGTATTGTAAGATATTAAAAATATTTTAAACAATATTAACTTCTCATTTATTCAATAAGAGAAAAAAAAATTGTTTTCTTATCGGTCACCACTCTCAAAAAGTGTTGTCAAAAAAAAATCAAATTGATTTAATATCAAAGACTTAACTGCATAAATAAAATAAATAAATAATTATAATTGCATAAGTTGATAAAAAATGCTATGCAATAGCTTTACCGCGGCAGTCATCGAGTGCCACACGTATTTTTTTTCGTATTCCTCAGACGTGCAGGTTTCCTCACGATGTTTTCCAGAGATGGGCCGAATATTCGTTTTATATTCGGTATTCGGCAGCTTTACCGAATATTCGTATTCGGCCGAATATTCGCCTAAATCACCGAACATTCGTTAAAGTAACCACTGTATTGAAATGTACAATTTGAGTAATGCCGTGTCTTTCATAATTTAACTGTTGAAAGTACATTTTAACACAACGAAATACTTCTTTTTTTACAATAATAATCAAAACATAAGCATTTGCATGCCAGCAATTTGCTCGGTACTAGATGATGCAATAACATCTCAGGTGTGGCGGGGAGCGAGAGGCAGGGTCCGGCGCTAATACCCCGCGCTTTACGGTAACAAGTTTCGACATAAATTAGTTAGGTATGAAGGTGATCCTGCCGAACAATGTTCCACCGAATATTCAGTTCGGTAAAAGTTTTACCAAACTTTCGGCCGAATATTCGTATTCGGTGAAATCCATATTCGGCCAATCTCTAATGTTTTCCTTCACCGCCGAGCACGTGGTATATCAGCAATTAAAATTGCAATTAACAATTTCATTGGTGCCGGCGGGGATCGAACCCGGGTTACTCGCGTTCTGTTATATTTACAGCGAGCGTCAACCATCTGAGCTACCACGGCTCCCAAAGTACAACAAAAGTTAAACATTAATCTGTCGATAAACGAAACATTGATACTAACCTGCAAATTCCATTTGAACCCAGCGTCCAGTCGGATGGCAGGGGCTGCACGCTTTGCTGGTGGGCCTCCATCTGTTAGTAACATTGTTTTTTTTTTTTTAAATTTAAAGCACATTCAAGATATTCGTAGTAGAATCTATGGAGAAATAGAAGCTTATGAAGAGGGCTACGCTCGGAGTTTCTCTGTGTGATAGCGTATACGCGGTGGTACTGGAATAACTTAACCCAACAGATCATTAAGTAAAAGTGGGAATGGATTAGCCATGTAGCTCGCAGAACCGATAGCTAATGGGGCAGAACGATTTCCAAGGAGATAGAAGTAATTTTTGCTTAGAAGCTCGGACCTAAGACAGAAGTTAAGCCTAATAACTGTTTTTTTTTTATATAATAAGGGTGACAAACGAGCACTGTTTACCTGATGGTAAGTAGATGCTGTAGCCCATAGACATCTACATTTATCCTCAATTAAGAATCAAAATGCAAATGTTTACCCTTATCCATAAAAGAAAAACTACTCCGGTTGAGCCGACCCATATATGCTATAACCTTATTACAGTGGTTGCATTGTTGTGTTGCGTTATGAAGTTTATAGAGACCCAATACAAGCCCCGTTAGGCATTTTTTTATTAATAGGTTTTTCATTATTTCAATAATTCACTAAAACCAATCAAGAGTTCACTGCTAAGGCACAAGCTTCGTGCACAGATTGCCTCATAGCAGTCACTGTTTTACCCTGAGCCGTTATCAGATACTGCTGTCGCCTTTCACGACACTCACGGGACGAAATAGAATGGAGTAGCGATTTTTATTTTTTTTATAGAAAAGTGGGCAAACGAGCATGCGACTCACCTGATGGTGAATGACTACATACAATAATACAAGAGTCATTTATAAAAATTGGTATAGGGTGCGTTTGGCAGATAAAAGCGCTAGCAAGCGCTTATAAGCGCTGAAATAGTTTTCAGCCAGGACACGATTGCTACTTCAGTAGCGCTGACACAATCCGCCATTTTGCTTATTTAATTTGTTTGTTTTGAAGTAGAGTTTATTAATTGTTTTGTGCAATATTAGTTTTAAGTAATATAATGACATGAATAAACATATACATGTTATTAAAAATTCATGATCGGTAAGTTTTTAATATGAATACTTTACTTAGGTTAGGTACCTCGGTTAAAACTAACATCGTGTCCTGAGGGAAAATAGCTACTTACGATTTGACAGCGCTTACCGCTTACGATCGCCATTTTGCTTACAAGCGCTTGCTAGCGCTTTTTTCTGCCAAACGCACCCATTGATTTCAGTTTGACGCCACAACGTGTTTGACAGCACACGACTGTCCCTGAAGTTACCGACGATGTCTATGGAGTTGCCTTCAAAGTAACTCAGTATAGTGGTAACTGAGGAGACAGTTCAAATACTTTGATCAAAAATACATTTTATAACTATATGAACAACCGGAAAACCAAAGAAATTTACGTTGCTGGCCTTTTAGAAAGGTAAAAAGAAAGCGCTTTTCTTGAAAGTCCCTAAGTCGTATCGGTTCGGAAAAATCATCGGTGCTAAACAACTCTACAGAGAAGTTGTAAGAGGAAGAAAACTCCTAGTAAAACGCACAGCGGTGTACCGCCAATCATCCAGATGGTAAGGATATATTACATCACTACTACGCGACGAGTTTGTATTATGTTCATTTATATATATTTTTTGAAAAGTAAATAAATTATAGTTTTAACGCGGTTATCACACTGCAGCTATACATATTATGATTATAGTACGTATGGCTCGGATTCACTGATGGACCACGCTGTTTCAGAGTACCAGTGTAAAATAGTAGTTTAATGCTGCCGAGTTTCGTATGGTGAGTGTAGAAACAGAAACTTTCTTATTCATTATAAAGTAAAGTAAAGTAAAGTTACAGCCTATATATGTCCCACTGCTGGGCACAGGCCTCCTCTCATTTGTGAGAGGGTTTTAGGGCAAGGAAGTGTCCGCCGCGCTGCCCCAATGCGTGTTGCCGAACTTCACATGACTTCGAAATATTTTTTTCTTATTCCTCAGACATGCAGGTTTCCTTACGATGTTTTCCTTCACCGCCGAGCACGTGGTAAATCAGCACTTAAAATTGCAATTAACAATTTCACTGGTGCCGGCGGGGATCGAACCCGGTTTGCTCGCGTATTGTGAAATTTACAGCGAGCGCTAACCATCTGAGCTACCACGGCTCATTATAGATTTTTAAAAATACTTATTGAAAATCACTCTTTTATTTGAATTACCACGTGGTCCTTCACTGCTGGCCGTATGAGGACGCTCAAGGTCGCTCAGCGAGCTATGGAGAGGGCTATGCTCGGAGTTTCTCTGCGTGATAGACTCAGAAATGAGGATATACGCAGTAGAACCAGAGTGACCGACATAGCCCAACGGATTAGTAAGCTGAAGTGGCAATGGGCCGGCCATATACCTCTAAGAACAGATAACAGATGGGGAAGAAAGGTTCTCCAGTGGCAGCCTCGTACCGGTAGGCGTAGTGTGGGGCGACCCCCCACTAGATGGAGTGACGACCTGGTAAGACATGCAGGAAGTCGATGGATGCAGGTGGCTCAGGTCCGAGCTTTGTGGCATTACTTGGGGGAGGCCTATGTTCAGCAGTGGACTTGTGAAGGGCTGTAATGATGATGACGATGATTTGAATTACCACTGGTTCGGAAAAAAACCTTCCTGGGAAGAACCAGCAAGAAACCCAGCGTAGAGCGTACGTGGTAGAGCCATGCTGTAACTACATTGTGGTTGCAGCACGAATAGGTCGGCACGACCGGGGTAAGACCGCGCTCTCACAGAATACCGGCATACAATAGCAGCTTGATGCTGCTGTTCCGTATGGTGTGTGTAGAGAACCGGGAACCTTTTTATTGGAAACAAGGCATTCCATATCAGTCCTCAGGACTTGCAACGCATCTGCATTTTGATTCATAATCGAGGATAGATATAGATGTCTATGGGCCACAGCATCCACTTACCATAAGGTGGACTGAGTGCTCGTTCGTCGCCCTTATTCTATAAAAAAAGCGGGACTTTAAAAAATAACAGCTTACAATCATGTATGCTACACAATTAACAACACAAAACAAATTAGAAATAGCTTGGTAGCTTTTACCTAATTGCGAGCCTTTTTATACAAACTTAGTTTAAAGTTAGAACGGTAGAGAGAAAAAAAACCGTTTATGTGGTGATAGCGAATTTATATTTTAATTCTTAATCGATAATAGATGTAGATGTTTGTAGAGCATTCACACAGCATTCACTTACCATCAGAAGGACTGCGGTCGTTTGCTACATAATGCTATAAAAAAAGATATCCTTACTTTCTCTAACCACCATTAACTTCCTATCGGTGTTTCCAGCCTCGCACATTTTTTGATAATGTTGAAAATTACACAAAATATCGCAAATAGCAGTTTTTAAAATTCAACATTACTTAAAACAACACAATATTTTAAATCACTTTTAACGTAAAACAAATTTCATGCTGGGAAAAACACTGGACTGACCGCACTGTACAATGGACTTCGAATGGGGGCTAGATTTATGAAAGATTTTCGTGATACCCTCAAGTTTTAATATCGTAAGGACTCGGTTATGCTGAGATACACCAATTTGCCATAACGCAACAATTATTGCTTCAAATTTAACGCGATAAAGTTAGTGGCTCCACTTCAACGGTCAACGTCATTTCAATTTCAATGCTTAACGACGTTAAAGTTGGCGTTAATGTTCCTTGAAGAATATAAAAAATATTTATTTAAACATAAAAACCCATTAGGCGTTTTTTGTTTTTAATTTTTCGATAGTTATTTTAAAAGGTAATAATTGCATAATTCGTCGCAAAGCATCATTTTGCGATGTACGATTATAAAAAAATTTGAGCCTCGGATCCCACAAACATGACACTGTTTGCAGAGTCTCAAGAAACGTAATAACTTTTTTATTATTTCGCTCCGTCATAGCCATACGTGCGACCCCGTTGCTCCCACCGTGCATAATACGACAAACGTAATGTGGCCGCTTCAACGCGTTATTTCATGTCATGAAATTCATGCGTTAATCTCTTTGATGTACAGCCACTCGAGTTATCGCCAAACGGCAACAGTATTGTTAATGCCGTTGTCAAATTAACGCGCAAAGTTGTGGCCACACCTACATTCAACGTTTCTCGTTAGTGTAGCCCCAGCATTATAGTACATTGTATAATATGTTACAGTCAGAACTCATAACCTGTTAATACCACTTTTGACTGCAAAAATAAGGCTAAAGTAGTTTTGAGTAAGGGACATTGGTCAAAATCACTTAACTGGAAAAATGTTGGGCAATAGTGATTTTGGCCCCAAGAATATTAGTCACAACTACTTTTGACTGGTATATACGTTTTTTTTATATCTTCTATTTTTAGATACCTATTCGTATGATTGAGCTATTTGCGTCTAATAAATCTTACACTAATCTCGCAATATCAATGCAAGGTGCGGCTGGAGAGGTTCTTGGGCCACCCTAAAGCCTCATATATATATACATCTTAATATTGAAAGAATTGAACTAGAACGTTGATCAACACCACTTTTGACTATAAAAATCAGTCAAACTATTTTTGACTAAGGGCATCGGTCAAAACCATTTTTGCCTGATTTTCGCAATAAAAAATGGTCGTGACAAGTTATTAGTTTTGACTGTAACATAATATATAATAAAGCGTTGCTGACTCTAACATATGAATCTTAATATACAAAAATCCCGTGTCACGATGTTGGTTTACACTAATATCAGAAACCACTAAGCCGATTTTAATGAAATTTTCTAAATGTGGTATCGCATGCTCCAACTTAAGACATAATATTTTTATCCCGCTAATTGACCCTCAATATTGTTTAATGCTAATTCAAGGATATTTTATAGAAGAAAGAGTCACCGGAAAGAGCACGCCAGCTAGTATAAAATAATTAAACCTTTTTAATAAAAAGGAGCCGAGTTCAAACAAAATAAAATTATTTCCATTTAACAGACGAAATTCTTGTATTTCGCTGATCATGGGATCCCCGGATCGAACCCCGGGTCAGGCCGAAAATCTATTATTGAGTTTTTCCGTCAAGAAATTCTCAGTAGCTGCCCGGAGTCAGGAAGTTGGTGGTGTCTCACCCCCGTGCCTCGGAAAGCACGTAAAGCCTTTGGTCTTGCGCCTGATCTCTCTCCCGTCGTGTCGGTTTAACGTCCCATCGGATTATGAGAGTGAAGGAATAGAGAGTGCACCTGTGCTTGCGCATACACTTGGGCACTATAATCCTGTCCTGCGCCGATGGCTAGACTCCGTTGAGGCAGGCCGCCGTGACCGAAGTTCGGTCTGGAGGACATTAGTTCATTAAGTACAGACTCACACAATCCACTGATGAACAGCCTCCTCGGGTTAGTGGATTGTGAATAGATTGCCTCATAAGGGTGATATTCGCCATAGTTGCCACGTTCAGCAGACGGTTTGGCAATCTTAACACGTGGTAAAGGTAGAGTCGTGGTTATGGCACGAATGGTCCGGCTCGACCGGCGAAGGACCACGCTCTCACAGAATATCTGCGTAAAGTAGCAGCTGAATACTGAAAGTGGCATACATTATGGGGAATATTTTTAAGTAAAAATTTCTTAACTTTCGGAGTCTTGTTATTGGGTATATAATCAAAATGTTGGTATATTATAAGTAGCAGTATACGTAGTACAGCCACGCTGCAGCTATATTATGGTTGTAGCACGAATGGGCCGACCGGGGTGAGACCACGCTCTCACAGAATACCAGCTTAAAATTGTAGCTTAATGCTGCTGTGTTTCGTACGCTGAGTGTAGAGAACCGGAGATCCTATTTACAGGAAATGAAGCATTCCATCTTAGTCCTCACGGGTGACAACGCATCTGTATTTTGATTCGTAATCAAGGATAGATGTAGATGTCTATGAGTCACAGCAATCACTTACCATCAGATGGACTGTGTGCTCGTTTTTCACCCTATCCTATAAAAAAAAACATATGCCTCCTCCAGATTTTGTCCTATGGGGTATTTTGCCATAGTTGCCACGTTTGACAAGAGTTTACCACCGCAGTTTTTATTATTTTGATTAGATATTTTTTCCTGTTTCCATTTCCCTGTGTCGCCTCTTACGACACCCAAGGGACGATATGGGCGTGGTAATGGATATTCTTACACCACTACACGGTTCGACACTATAATTTTATTTTTAAAAAGACACTCACATCTGCGCCGAATCAACTGCCGTTTCAATGGCGCTGACTGCGCGCCGGGCATCACCAAGTCAGTGGACGAACTAACGCCGGAACTCTAAGAATAAATAATTGTACAATAAATCAAACTAATTTTAATACTTTAATAATTACTTCAACAAAATGTACAATTAAGTCAAACGAAGTCTCAACCCGCAAAAAAACTATGTATATATAGTTTTTTTGCGGATTGATGCTTCTTTGGCTATTAGTTACTAGTTATTAACACTGAAAAAATATACGAGGGGAGGTCAATAAGTTCGCGGAATGGCGGAGTTGACGAGGGTGAGTTTACACATCCAGGTAGGCATTTGTTGAGTGACTCATTGTTAGTATATATATCAAGTTTCAGCCTAATCGGCTAATTTTTCCAAGCGGCTACTCGCCGCTTGCGCCCTCCTTACAGCCAAGGAGGGTCGCGTCCGTTTACGGCTTAAAGATCTTTCGCTAGATCATTAAGCCAATCCCAAAAGGCAGTGTTTAGTGGGTAAAAGTCTCCACATAACCACGCAGCCGGCTGCGTGGTATGATATGAGCATTCACCACCTCCCTCCCCCATTTACCGGAAGGTAGCCCTTTTTTGATTCGGGCGCAATAAAAACTAGTCGAGTCATTAGCTTTTGAGTTACAACAAGTCAATCGGGAAGAAATTAGTCACTATGGAGAAAATTGAATATCGCGCCGACATCAATAAGTTTCTCACCAAACAAGGAAAGACATCTCAAACAATTTTTCAAAATATGTCACAGCACGCCACCCACCTTACAAGCCCTGACCTGGCCCTATGCGACTATCATTTGTTTCCAAAAATGAAGATAGAACTGCGTGGGAAAAATTTGGCGACGATGATGAAGTAAATTCGGCAATTTCAGCCTATTTTGACGCCCAATACAAAGTTTTTTTTTTCAGACGATATTAATAAGTTATTTGACAGATTTAATAAATGTATTAGGATAAAGGGAGAATATATTGAAAAGGAAAAATAGTTTAATGTTACATTTCATTATCCTTCACTGTCATTCCGCGACCTTTTTGACCTCCCCTCATATATATTACTGATGTGCCGATTAGTCGTAAAAGCCGACTATCCGGCCATATTTGTAATCAGCGACTAGTCGGCAAAAATCACTGATTATTCGGCCTATTATTTTATTCATATTTCAAATAAATTAAATTATCTGCAGGATAATTGAAACAAAATCTTAACCTTCATTGTTAATAATTTTTAATTTAGAATCAGTCTTACAATTTGTAATATAGGAATAAGAACTTTTATAGATAATCTAAGTTTAGTAACTTTTCCCTTGGTAAATAATTGGTCTTAAATTAAGAAGACATAAATATAAATATAATTAACAAAAAATAAATTCAATAACTCCTAATAAATAATAACAATATGAGTATTATCATAATGAATGGAGTAGTAGGAATTATGGACGACACACACGGTCAGTCCAACTGATCATTCCAACTGATCAGTTCTAACTAAAACTGTTGATATTTTTTAAAATATCGGAATATCGATAAATAAACTTATATATAATACTTCGTTATTGATATATTTACAATGATCGATATATCGAAAATCCGATATTTTAAAAAATATCAACAGTCCTAGTTAGATCAGTTGAACTGACCGTGTGTGTCGTCCATTAAACTAACTGTATTATTTTATAGTTCATAAAAGATAGCTTGATCTCTGCGACAGCTGTCAGTAAAAATGTAAGAAAGAATGTCAGTCCTGAATTTCTTAGTAGTACAGACAGTACCTGTCAATGTCATACCTTATGGGCATGCACTAAATTAGGTCGGCATGCCCATAAAGTATGACATTGACAGGTACTGTCGTGTCTGTACTACCACGGTAATATTATCTATACAGTATTCCAACTTCATACAAACGGACGAAGCGAGAGCTATGCCTACGCGCCTCGATCTCGGCATGCGCTCGGCATGCAGACAGTCGAGACTGTGCCGCAGTCATGATTTTGTGAAATATATAAAAAATGGAGGAAATAAATAATAGAATAGAAATAAAGAAATAATAAATCTGAACTTCATTTAAAAACAAACATATAAATTGTAAAGTAGCTGCAGGTATCTATAACCAATTAAAAGATATTCCTTTTCACCTTGTTGTCCATGTTTCCCAAAACAATTTTTAATTTATATTATTTTTAGCTTTATATTAGAAAGCGGATTTTTTATATTCAAAAATCTAATAATAAAGCATTTCGTAAGTCTCAGCCGAGGTGCAAATATTTTTCGGTCGCAAATTTATTTAACCGATTTGTTATTCAAACATAAACATAGTTTTTTAATTAAATCTACCAATCAAAAAACGACACGCATTTTTATTGAACACTTCCTATTCAATTCACAAAGTACCTATTTTATTTGTTTATACAAAAAGTATATTTACAATCATAAAACTAAATGGAAACACAAAGTAGGCAAATGTAAAAATGCTGAAGGCAGGTAACCCTATCACATGTTTACGTGCCGCACGGCTGCAGGCATTTATTTGAAAGATACGGCCGAGTTACAATACTGTATAGATAATACTACCTTGGTACTACTAAGAAATTCAGGACTTCATAGGCGTGATTTTTACCGACAGCTGTCGCAGAGATCAAGCTATCTTTTATGAACTATAATTAAAAATTTGACAGTTAGATTTAAAATGCGAGTGATTCAATGTCCATTAACTAGGGTAACAAACAATTCATAACCTTTTGTACATCACAATTGCCTATCAATAAAAAAAATTAAAATAATTTGTAATTTTTTTTAAAATTTGTAATTTGAGGCATAATCGTGGTGTAACAACACCGGAGACACTGCTATTTCTGGCAGCGACCTATTTCCTTCGGTTATGTACTCGTATATATTGCCAGTTTCGGATTAGTCTCTCTGAAGACTCTTATGAACTGTTACGACTCCATCACTCAAATCGTCTGAAAACAAACCGCCATGGGGATTGCGGATACCACCTGAACTCCACAGAAAACAATGTCATAGTTGGCCCATCTCTAATATATATATAATCATAAATTAACACACGACTGAGATGTTCAACGTTAAAAGCTGCAGAAAACTAGCCAACTATAATGTTAAACTCTCACGCCTGTAACACAGAGTGGTAGGCAGAGACTACGGACTTCCGTTTGGCATGACTCCTGACACAAATCTTTCGCTTTTTTCACATCCATCCATCCATCCATCTACGAATATGTACTGGTCGATTAAGGATACTCTAAATTGGACCCATCTTTAACATATCGACAATTGGGTCGATAAATTTCCACCTAGGATGCCCCTCGCCGACTCTACCATTAATTTTTGCGACATTAATATGCTTTGACACTCTTTCCTCATTCATTCTTTCTACGTTTACCAAACCACCGAAGGATTCCTTTCATAATCCTGGTCCCCATCATCTTGGAAGCCACACTTTTCTCCCATCACACACATCACAGATGTTGCAATGCCCTGAGTGCTCGCCGCTCAATTTATTTGGGAAGCGCGTCGGTAAACCACACGCCCCGCCCACAATCTATTTACTTAGGACTTGGTCTTAGATAAGTACTCAATTCAAATCAAAAAAATAATTTCCACATATAATATAAGAACAAATAATTTGGTAGTAAATATCACCCCTCTAACAATTTTGATGTTCTAATCTAGATATATTGTGTTAGGGCTCTGTTGGCGCGACTTCTAACGCCGCCTAGCGACGCACCGGAACACCAAACTTTTAGCTATGAATCAGAGCTCGTCATTGTTAGCAACCAATCACAGCACGTCGTGCAATTAGTTATAAGATCTGTCTGTTTTAAATTTTTATTATTACCTGATACACACTGTTAGCAATAAGACGACTTAAATATAACCAACAAACGTTCAATAAATCAATCATTGAAGAGCACCTGCCTCCCGTTCCTGTACAGGCTCTTACACAACACTGTGGATCGATGAAATATTGCAAGAATCTATAACGAGAATACGGCATTGATTTTATTATGCATTATCACACCACATAGTTGTATAATAATCCTAACCAATTTTAATAAATACACAAAGTTTTAATAATAATAGTCACTCACCCAATCGCCCAATGCATCTGAAAAGAAAAAAAATCAAATAAGTTTACAATTTTTTTTATATGTGGTAGCCATGCTGCAGTTATATTAGACGTATAGTTGTAGCACGAATGGGTTAGCTCGACCGGGGAAGTACCGCTCTCCCCGAATGCCAGTGCAGAGAACTGGAGACCCTTTTTACTGGAAACGAGGCATTCCATCTTAGTCCTCACAACAGGTGACAGCGCATCTGCATTTTGATTTGTAACCGAGGATAGATGTAGATGTCTATGGGCCACAGCAACCACTTACCATCAGGTGGACTGTGTGCTCGTTTGTCACCCTATCCTATAAAAAAAATTATTAATTCTAACATAAAGGTTGCTTGTTAATGATATAATATTTTATCAAGCAAGATAAAATGTAACATATTGCGACCTGTTTTAGGAAATTCAGTTTTATCTTCACCAGATGAATGCTTCCCTCATTATGGTGAGATAAGAATAACGACAAGTTAACAAGCCCAATAGTTAAAGCAGTAATTTATTACACTTTTCTATTCAATATAGATTATAAATAATATTGGGTCCTTACATATGAAATAGCGTTTCGTCTGTTTTGTTGTGTGTACTTTGATCTAAAATATCTCCTCTTTGGTTAAGAATTTCAAATTCAAATTTATAAATTCATTTAGCTGGAACATTTGAGTTTTGGAAACAGCCATTCATTTGTTTTTACCTCATTATTTTTTCCTTTGGCGTCGCTTATTACCGCACAATGGAAAACATGAAATATCGATATATTTACGAGTACGAGTTTTACCGTGGCACCAGTGCTGCAGAAACATCTCGAAAGATTAATGATGTGTACGGCGCTGGTGTCGCAAAATAAAGCACGGTACGTTTAAGGTTTCAACGTTTTCGTTTATTAAAATTTCGACCTTCAGAACCAACCCCATGGACGGCCGGAGACCAAAGTGGAAAATGAAGAATTAAAAGCTATTGTGGAAGCGGACCCATCACAAAGCACTTCAGAGATAGCTGCAGGCTTCGGTTTAAGTGATAAACCTGTATTAATCGTAAAGATCGTACAGAAATTAAAAAAAACTTGAACGATGGGTACCTCATGAATTGAGTGAATCGAACTTGCAAACACGCATCGACTGCTGTGTTACTTTGCTCAACAGACACAAAAATGAAGGGAATCTAAATTGAATCATTACTTGTGGTGAAAAGTGGATACTGTACAATAATCGGAAACGCTCGGCGCAATGGCTGAACCCTGGAGACAACCGAGCCAAATCCTGCCCTAAACGAAAATTGACTCAGAAAAAGTTACTTGTGAGTGTTTGGTTGACTAGCGCCGGTGGCTAAACGATTACGGCAGATATCTATTCTCAGCAACTGCAAACCATGAAAGATGAAGAAATGAAGAACTAGCTGCTAAACAACCGAGATTGGTCAATCGCTCTCGGCCACTACTGCTTCACAACAACGCAAGACCACACTCTGCGGAACAAACAACAACTAAGTTAGATGAGCTACAATTGGAATGTCTGCGACATTCACTGTACTTCCCGCACCTTGCTCCAACAGATTACAATTTTTTCTGGAATTTGGATAACTTCTTAAAAGGAAAAAAATTCATCTCAGATGCGGCAGTCCAAATTGCCTTCAAAGAGTTTATTGATTTTCTTCCCCATGGTTTTTTTAGAAAAGGGATCTATGAACTACTTATGAGATGACAAAATTGCATGGATAACAACGGTGCATACTTTCATTAATTAAATATATTTTACAAAAAAAATTGACTTTATATTCCTCCCGTACAAAACACCAATTTCATATGTAAGGACCTATTACTTATTGAAAGTCTCTCTCTAATTTAATTTACTGCTGGTTAAAGATTTCCTCTGCCCTCAGCGAGAGAATGAAGAAATGCATAAAAAATCTTCACTAAAAAGAGAAAAATTCAACTTTAATATGTCACTTACACAACGAAGATAAATGAAAGTACAATTAATGTAAAAATTCATTCCTGTTTAGGCTGCAGAGAGTAAAAAATATACATACAAACATACATACACTTCAAATATATTTTCCTCCTACAATGGCAGTTTGGAAAAATAAGATTATTTTTATAAACAAGTGGTAAAATTAAAAATGTTGGACAACAGACTTCAATATAAATAAAATAAGAACATCAGCAATGTAGACTTATTATTAGTCGTATTATTATAATTTTTTTTATTTTATAGGATAGGGTGACAAATGAGCACACAGTCCACCTGATGGTAAGTGGTTGCAATGGGCCATAGACATCTACATCTATCCTCTAGTACAAATCAAAATGCAGATGCGTTGTCACCCATGAGGACTAAGATGGAATGCCTCGTTTCCAGTAAAAAGGGTCTCTGGTTCTCTACACTCACCATACAAAACACAGCACCATTAAGCTGTTATTTTGTGCTAATATTCTGTGAGAGTGTGGTCCTTCCCTGGTCGAGCTGACCCATTCGTGTTACACCCACAGCTATAGCATGTTTCTACTAAGTATAAAAACATTACTTAACATTGCAACTAACAATTTCATTGGTGTTGCCGCAGATTGAACACAGTTTGCCCAATATCAAAATTAAATATAAAAGGCTTTTTTTTAAGCTATTAAAGCCAATGCTTGATTATATCCCGCCTGATGATAAATAGAGTATCCTTTTAAACACAGAAAGGCTGGCTACTTGCACCAGTCCTCCAACTGGTAAGACTGGTTCTAACCATATTGGTATTGTTAATAAGCCTCCCAGCACACTTTTCTGTTAAGACCAAATGGGCTAGGTGGCATTTTGTAGCACCAAGCAACAGTCTGCCGTTCTTCTGCAAGGACACCTAACTTCCTAGCAGCTGCTATGACCTTGGACTCAATGAACCACCCAAAGTTCAGGTTCGAGGAAACCTCAAAGGCCAGGCCACCTATGAGTTACCACGCCTTCAACGCCGACAAACTATTATTAATATTTTCGTACTAATATTTAGCCGAACACATGTAAATTTAAATCAAACACGATTAAAAGTATATGGATTATTACTTATGTTTACTATATACATAATTATTTTGTTTTCATTGAAATTTTTAATAAAATTAATAATATCTCGTATCCTTACCGTTACGTGGGAAATTCGTTGAATTATGCTCCATTTTCTAAGACAAACACTGAAATATTAAGTCAGACCCTGAATAATTCTGCCACGATTTTTACAAAGTGTTTATAAACACTTCCAATGTTTTAGATTTATCGCATTTTTCACTGCAGTTACAAATCAAAACACTCACATGAAAGCGGGGTTCGTTAAGATGCTTACGGAGTAATAGTTTTCAGTTTATACAAAGGTACTCTGTGGTAATAGTAATAGTGTTTCTCTAGTATATAGTCAGTAATCTATGGTGTTCTGTCTCTAGTACCTACATAGTCAGTAATCTATGGTTGGTAGGTAATACGATAATAGGTATTGTGGTTTGGTATTGGTAGTACTTTTTTTTATTGAGATTTTTGTCTTGGATGCTAGTCCTTTAAGCCTTATCTTCATTTCATTAGGGAATAGGGGAATAGGCATCTTCATTTTTATAGATTTTTTTTGCGTCACATTGCGAAGTTTTTAAATAAAAGTAACGTAACGCAACGCTTCTAAACTTTTTAATTAAGGTAAATTCGAGTAATTTTGACTCACTAACCTATTGGTAGGGCCTGATTTACCCACAGACTAACTAGGCTGGAGCCTAGGGTGTAAGGTTCGAGGGGGCGCTGAGCTTGCGTTTGCAAGCATCGCTTATGTACAGAATAAAATTTAATAAAAAATAAAAATATAAATTTCTTTGCAACCTTCCGCTAAATAAATACAATGATGTGTCTTACCTGGATTGAAGAGCACCTCCCGCCCTCCTTCAATTGCATGCACTAACTCCGTCACCACTAGTCCCAGCACCACTACTCCCAACACCACTATTCCAGGTAAGACACACCATCGACGATAATACGACACGTGTTTCGCCTCTACACGAGGCATCTTCAGGTGATGTAGACTTTACGGCGGCTGACCGCTAAGTCTTCTCGGGAATACATAATCGAGTATCGGAACAAACTTGTGTCTGAAGTCGTGTCTTTAATAAACAAAATCTGCCCATCGACATCATCAGATCCATCTCAAAATTACTTAAATTACTTTATAACTTGTGGAATGAAATATCCACTACATAGGTAAGTTTTGCATCATTCTACACCCGTACGTGTAACAGATACGCTGTGGTTCAAATCGCACTGCACTCAACCTCAGATTAGGATTAGTAAGAGTAGATAAAAGTATAACGTAGTGATTATGCGGCTGATTTATGGATCTTTGCAACAGCACCACCTACCGGGTCCGATTGTTTATCTCAACCTACCAGAAACCCACTCAAACGCACTAAAAAATTGCGAGCTATTTTTGAATTTTTACGAGACAAAGGCACGGCAATTGATTTTTTTATATAAGGAAGATATAAACATATTGTTTTATTTATAACAAAAAAGTTAAAACAATAGCATGTACGTCCTGCGGCTGGGCAGAGGACTCCTCTCATTTCCTAAGAATTGTGAAGCGATGAGTCCCACGCCCTGCCCCAGTGAATGTTGGAGGACTTTTCATTTATTCCTTGAAATATTTCAATCCTCACACATGCAGGTCTCCGCACGATGGTATTCTTCATTGCTAAGCTGAGCTGATTAACAATTCTTTAATTGCGTTAACTCTTCGATACGAATAATAATCACATTTAATACGTAACTTAGGATTAATAAAAATGGATTTTTTTAGGTCATTTTTCATAATATAATCTTTATATTTGGATACACCTACTCGTATTAGTAAAATACGAGTGCCACAGATTCTATCACTCGTCACGAGATCTTTAGAGTATACGCCCGATTGACTTAAAATTTGACATAAATACTCTTTTCTCAACGGAATTACCCACTTAGAAAGGATTTCAGAAAATTCAACTCCTGAGGGGGTAAAATAGCGTGTTACAGTTCATTACCTACAGTTTCATACTATTATTTTCAATTGTTTAGGACCTTCCTTTTCTAGTAACTATAGATATGCGTTGGGATCTGGGTTCTTGGTTTAGTATATTCATTACTTCTATCAAAAACACGTCACGGCATGTGTGTATGCAAGAATAAAAGAGGAAGTGAGTTGGATACACCTTGCGAGGTACGTTAGTAATTCTTATTACTTTGTGGTTTGCAGTAAGTGTGAAAGTGAAAGAAATCGGCGAACGATGTCGAGGAGCTTTTTCATTTGAGCCCTTAGCGATCAGTCAAAAAATCCTAGTCGCCTCAGAAGATTCGACAGGCTGCTCACCACTCATTTATTACATACTCCGCTGTAGAACGTAGGTTCTCCCAAGGAATAAATATAAAATACAAAGCACCGTCCAGAGCTACCTTCAACCATCGACTTTCTGCATCTCTTATCATGTGGTTACTCTATCAGTTGGGGGGCCGCCGCCATGGATCCCCCGCCCTCCGAGCCCGATACGAGGAGGTCACGGGGCCAGGAAAAAAGGAGCACTCGGAAGCACCCACTTTTCTGACCCTAGACTCCGCCGCCAATCAAGTTTGAGCTGCGGAAGCTAAGGAGAGCGGGGTCTCGCAATACCACCATTCTTCCCCCCGCAGCCCCCAGGTCCCGCCAGAGTCCAGGAGGATAGGGCGAGTGGGCATCACCGTACTCCTCTTCCCCCATGACGCCACCTTCGTTGCGGCGGTAGGGGAGAAGACACCTTTCTCGCCGCATCCCACCAACTCACTCCAAGCCACTCGGAGTGGCAACCTCCGTCCGGCCCTTCACATAGGGCCAGCCATGTGGGTTCCTCTTAGTTCACCGTGGGTGACAAATTCCTGGCTACTAACCCCCTCCCCCACGCCATGACAAGACGTACTCGCTTTTCGGGGGCAAGGAGAGGCCCAACGTGTCCAATGCGATCCTGATGTGTTTTTATGATTTTCTGCGACGGGCTTGCCGAAACTTAGCTCTGACCGCATGCATAGACTCCACAAATTTCAAAAGAACTGAGATATTATTGTGGCATTCAGTTTTTATTTTTAAATAATATCAATGACCATTTACCGTGAAACACTGCAACTTTGCCCGTTTTTTCTATAAATTTTAATTTAATTCAATTTTTTTTATGTGGACATTAGTATATTTTATTATTCCCTATTACTTTCTGATCGTGTGCAAATATTTATTTTGTTAAATTTATTGAAAATTTAGTAAAAAAAAATTCAAACTAACATTTGATCAATTTTGAAGACGGGCAAAAGACGGGACGTTTTTGCCAACACAGCCTACGTTGTTTTTTTATGCAAATATAGTTCGCTTCGTAATAGTTTTGCAATAAGCATCACCACTTAGATGTGACATATCTTGGCGTTGGTTTCAAACTTTATTAGTAGTGTTAAAACTTTCACAGAAAAGTGAGTGGGCAATGCTAACTAGCTATTTTCGCACTTTTCCATAAAAGCCGCATCGAGAGATTTAAAACTGTTAGGGTTGAAACATTCGAGTAAATGTACAAAAATTTAAATAAAAAAAATCTTACTCAATATTAAATGTTTATTTAAGTTTTGTTCTCTCTTATTTCTAAATTTTATATACAACACTGAGATCAATAAAGATTCATTTAGTTAATAAAATCAAAAGTTAAATTAGTCAAAAAGTAAATGAGGCAACTTATAGGCAGCTGATGGCCTACAGTAATAAAAATTAAAATTCTTTTAAATTATCGTTGAAACGGTGAATGCTGGGTAATCTTTCAATGTTCTACTTAAATTTACAAAATAGTTAGCAATTTCTTTTTTCTTTCACACAATTTCTCACCCTGTCACTCAGATTCAGCCCTAACATACTGCTTAACGACCGCATTTCCACTGCATTTATTCTACTCGTGTTTTACGTGTTCCTTCTGCCATATTTATTTATTTATTTATTTTATTCTTTATTGCATCCTTAACAAAAGAATACAAAGGGCGGACTTAATGCCTTGAGGCATTCTCTACCAGTCAACCCATGGAGTGGTGAGAGTTTGACGTAGGTGTGGCAATATAGAATAAGATAACACAATACAAATGATAATTAACTACATAATATATACAAACTACTAATAAATAAACTATACATATATGATCTATCCTTATATATATATATAAACAATTATATAAATAAATGGATATACACATAAGTAAACATATTTAAATACATACATAATTAGTATATACAAATGAATATGAATATATACGTCTGTTTGGCAATACATATTAAATAGATAAGTCATGTAGAATGCGTTGTCTTTAATAAATGATCACGGACCAACTTTTTAAAAGCGTACTTATTGGGAGCTTTTCTGATGTCATCGGGCAAGGAGTTCCAAAGGCGTGTAGCCTGAACTGTGAAGGAGTTACCATAGAACTCGGTGAAGTGAACTGGAGTACAGATTTTGTTGTTAGAAGAAGAGCGTAGGACCCTATCATGAGATGAGGAAAGATAATGAAATTTACTTTTAAGATAAGAAGGCGAAGATGGATCATTTAATATGGAAAAAAGTACAAGTAATATTCTGCCATACCCAACTTTCACTACCATACTTTAAAGTAGGGACTAATACAGCACTGTGAATTGCCAAACGTGCCTTTTTTGACACATTCTGACTTTCCACAATAGAGTGTAGAGCCCCCTTTACTGTATTTCCTCGTTCACTGATCGTTCTATATCCTTATCATATCTCCCATCCCTGCTGAATACACATCCCAAATATACAAACTCATCTACTTGCTCTACCATCTCCCCATCTATTCGTTTAGATAAATTATTATTGTACGGAATGACAAAATTGGGAAGGGTGGAGGTGGCGTTGCCATATACCTTCGTTCTAGTCTTTATTTTTCGGTTATTGCTTCGTCATCATCATCATCATTACAGCCCTTTACAAGTCCACTGTTGAACATAGGCCTCCCCCAAGGCATGCCACAAAGCACGGTCCTGAGCCACATCCATCGCATGCATCCATCGAATTCCTGCATGTCTTACCAGGTCGTCACTCCATCTAGTGGGGGTCGCCCTACACTTCGTCTACCGGTACGAGGCTGCCACTCAAGAACT